GACTAATAGCCAACGTTGTAAATTACACTAATACCAACGTTTACCTAACGTTGATAACACCTATGACAAATGTTTACAAAACGTAATCTGTCCCCTACACTTTAACCAAAACCGAACGTTTATCTGAATGCATTCAGAATGTTTAGACAACCAATCCAACACCTAAAAAAAAAACGTTTATAAAACGTATTTTTGCTACCTGAGATATTAGCGCTAATCTGGAACAAACCCTATTAAACAACTTTATATAAAAACCTGAATATGAATACCTTTGCTGAAAATGTGCCATATGTCCATGCCTGTACATTTTGCCAAAATTACACAAACCTAAAACACAACAAGGCAATTATCCAGGCAGACCAGTGGTTGCAGGAATAGGCTCAATGCTAGAGCCATTGTCGAATTTAGGACTATTAAATCCCATGTGCAAGCATTGCCATCATATGTGAAATACTCTATAAACTTCACAAATAAGAGAAAATGAGCCAGGCTCTTTTACGCCCTCTTCCGAATGGTAGCTATAAATGCAGAGGTTACATTGTGCAACAATATGATGAAGTGTGAATATTTCTGCCACCCACATACAGGAAAACGGTTCCAAATAAATTACATTATTACGTGCTCCACCACCCATGTTATCTACATGATTAAATGTCCATGTGGGCTGTATTATGTAGGTAAAACTTCTCGTTCCCTCAAACAGAGAATTAGTGAACATAAAAATGTAATCAGGAGAAACGACAGGGATTATCCAGTCGCAGTACATTTTAATGACCAAAAACATGCCATTTCTACCTTTAGATTTTGTGGCATAGAGAAAGTCAAGATATCAGACAGGGGAGGTGACATAAATAATGCTCTGAGTAAAAGAGAATGTTTTGGGATTTTCACCGTCCAGACAATATTCCCAAAAGGTCTTAATGATGAAATGCCCATGCATGTTACGTTGTAAATGTGAACATGAATTAATGCCACCACTTCAGATTACTCTGACGTTTTTTCTTGCACTGTACCCAATGATTTATGAAAACTTACTTGATAGGTCGATGTCCTCATTGTGGTTTTACAGATGTTTAATACGTTTTATGTACACACTTTATTAGAATACTTATGAAATGCACATTGTTATATTTGGTAACACTTGCTTCTTTTCCCTCGACTCCAACCCCATTCGATGCATTGAACAGATATGGGTGGAGCAATGTCTACATAAGGGTGCAAATTATAACACTCACAAATGCTCTGACGAAGGCCTTGAGGCCGATACGTAACGCTTAATAAAGAGCTGTGGTACTAGCAAGAGCAGTGTGCGGGTTTCTTCTTTTTTCCCAGGCTGTTCTGAGGGTGTTTCTAATGTTTTGTACACTCTGTGTATAATCCAAAACACAACCCCCAAAAAACTGCAAACGCATCCAACGAGTTTGTAGTCACAAGCTTGATGTAGTCATTGAGTGCAAGGAATATGGGACCAAATACTGGAGCTGTGGGTCCTGCAATCTGCAGTTGCTACATACATTTTTTTTCACTAATAAATGAATTATATATACCTATTAATTCTTTAAGAAAATAATTTATAAATGCCTCATGAGTTTAGTTCAGCTGTAAAACCCCACCAGAACCCAAAATACACTGTATTGTCTCAAAACATGCTTAAAAGTATAATTTTGTATTGTCAGTCCTGAATTTGAGAGTGGGTTTGATTCCCACGGGGAGCGGTTTGAAAGTGTATGCACTCACTACTGTAAATCGCTCTGGATAAGAGTGTCTGCTAAATGACAAAAATGTACTGCTTATCTGGTATTACTTTGTTTTTACTCATGTGCCTCTGCAATTAATGTGTGGGAAGGTCAAAACTCACTAGGTAAATTGATTGTAAACTAGACTAGACCTAATAACTAGGTTATTTATCAATAATAACACTAGAGAGGCTAATAATGCAACACAAACATGTTTACTTTGTCAGACTCTCTTATTCGTGGGCCAGAGAAGTTACAAATACAACAATCAACTATTAAAATATTTGGCATAGGCCTAATTATTATGCCAGTCAAAGAAATAGCATAATCCAGAGACATATCGGAATATAGCATGTAGACCAAAATAGATAGAAACGGACACAACTGTGTGACTTGTGGGTGGGAGCAGTCTAGTCTCTGGAATGTCACTCCAATAATCAATTCGACCTACAAGAAATATAAGCCTAGTGGAGCGACTGACCTGGACTGGAATTTACTCATACCTGAATTCACGTGTAATCAGGTGTTTACTGGTTTAAATACACGTGTTAAACTCCGCCTTTGCACAGCAACGGTGCACACAGAGGCAGAGAAGCACAAAGGGAACGAGCGACCGTGCGGTGGGAGAGGGGCGAATCGGTATGTCAAGATACAGCAACAAGGCAAAGTGGTGGAGTTTTTCTAGGGAGTTTTTCCTAGCCACCGTGCTTCTACACCTGCCTGCATTACTAGCTGTTTGGGGTTTTAGGCTGGGTTTCTGTACAGCACTTCGAGATATTAGCTGATGTAAGAAGGGCTATATAAAATAAAATTGATTGATTGATTGATTGGTGCTGTGACGTCGTCGTCGCAACGGCAAAGGGTCATCTAGACTTCCAGCGACAAATCAAGCAAACAATAGCGATTCTCAGTGAGAAATTGTTTGCAACACTGATCACGCCCCCCAAAATTGAGAAAACCCATAGAGATAGGTAGAAGACTCATATTTATATCTGAGCCATTATAGCGTCTGTGACAGCATGGGCAGCGCCATTGAGGCCACAACCCATAGGAATTCCCACCCAGTTGACTACTTTGACTACTTTAAAATGGCGGAAGCCTGGCGGAAGTCTGGCGGATGCCCTCAATGGCGCTGCTCATGTAAAAATTGCCTTTTGGCCACTAGAGGCCTCTATCATTCTCTACTATAAAATCCAGTTTCTGCATCATTCACTACTAGAACACTTTGAGAAAGGTATCAAGCAAAGAGAAGCAAACCTCTGTGAGGGATTGAGTGGATTTAGCTGTTTCACAGGGATTTCGTTTTGAGAAAATTGATATGCTAAGAAAAAGTTTACATAAAGTTGGCTAACGTCGTTTCGTTCATTTTATCTTCAAAGAGTAACCTGCATAAACCTAAAAAGGGAACTTAGCCTGACGTTTGCATTAGGCTAGTTTCAATGTAAGTAAAATCTTAAAATATCTATGCATGCTACTTTTCATGTAAATTGAAAAGGCCTGTCAATTTGTAGGCATTAGACCTATGGAAATGTGTTATTTCATACAACTGAACGAAGGCAAGTTTTAAATAATTATCCTCACAGTTAACCATGCTGTTAGTGGCTATGGTTTGATAAGATACGTTTCTGTCTATGATACAATGTATTTGCTTATTAGTCATAAATATATGTAATGTTTCACTTGGTCAACAACATCTGTCCACTGGAAAACGTGAATGTTCAGATATCCTCAGTTACCCGGTTCAAACGATTTTCAGATTCACGTGGAGTGTAGTAGTAAGTGGGCAGGTTCTGAAGTCACGTGTGGTCCTACTGTATTTCTCCCGCCACTTACTTGAAGCCGCCCCTTTCAGTGACGCCAACTGAGAGCTCTTCAGGTGGAAAGAGGAAATAATTACTCCTGTCACGTTTCCATATATTTACCCTATTGTTGTAGACTATTCATTTACTGTAGCTAGTTAACTCGGTTTGTATTGTTGCATGACATCAGACACGTTATCATGAAGATACTGTAAGATTAGGCCCTCATCGACCCCATACCCAACCCTCTGCTTGATATGTTCACTTAACATAAGTTAACATTTTGAAAATAGTGTATTTTTGAGTCATTTTACTTATAGCAGAAATACCTAGTAATGTGATAATGGATAATACAATTATTTTAATGTCTCCCTCAGAGTCTAGTTATGTAAAAACAAGCTAAGGCCTTAAAGATGATTTGTAATGTAACTTCTAACTACACTGATGTCTTAGTCATGGGGCATGCTTTCAAATTCCCAGACATGTCTCATGTAATGACCTCAGGCCAGTCTGTTCTGCAGCCTTGCCCATGTGTGACTGCCCACCCTGTCAGGTGATTTCTCTCAGCAGAGACAAACAGGGAAAGAGAGACACAGAGAAGTAGGCTAGAGCAGATCAATTCAGATCAGTTTGGAGCCCCTTGGGATATGATTTTCTCTCCCAGGATTTTTAAAAACTAAATGAGAAAGCAGAAAAGTCCAACTCATGAGGATGTTGTGGGATGGGGTTGAGTATGCTTTTGAGTGGAATTTTGTGTAAAGAACTTGACTGACTGTACAAGATCTACTTCCAGTTTGTTCTGGGAAATTACCCCCTGCATGTCTCAAAGAGCCCCATCCCGGAAATCTCCTACAATTTAGTCATGGAGATCCCATCTCATTTGCAACTCAATATGTGTAAAAAATGATAATATAACAGATTTTCTTGCATGGCAATGAATGGTAAAGAAAGGGGTTCCTTGTCAAAAAGGGATATGTTCAACTTACAGTTACATAAATACAGCTTGCATAATTATCTCCTAAGGGAGTGATAGAAGCCAGTGCTTCCCCCAGGGTAAACTTTGTTGATTGCAGGGGAAGGTTCTTCACTGTGAGAGTGCTCTGTGGTCATAGAGCTAGAATATGGGGACCAGGATATGAAACTCAACACACCAACTGCCCATTCCCTCCTGCTCCAAAACCCCTATTTAACCATTGTCTGACAGGGAAATAGATAGGTGGTTTCACAATTTTCTAATTATGAAACATGACAATAGTGTCAGTTGATAGTGGTACATTCAGACTAGTTATGTAATTAAATGAATTAAGTTTTGCTTAAATTATGGATGAACACTGGCTCCTAGTGGTTATTGTACTACAGTCATAAGGGTTGATGTTCAGGACTTGTCTCTACATGTCCCTAGGAGTTTGCCCAGGCATGTACTAGATCAGGAAAGTAGGAAGGCTTTATGAATCACTGTCTGATGGTTGGCTGTTAAATACAACTGCAGCATCTTCAATACACAGTCCAGTTCCTCCTTTACACAGATGAAGTAAAGTACAGTTAGGATTTTGAGAGGTTTACTTGAGCATAAATGGTAAGTTATTTATTGGTTGGGGTAGGCTATACAACTTGTTACATTAGTATTGTTTAAGTGATTATGGTGTGATAGTTGGTTATTGAATTATATTGGAATATCTGATTTTTGGATGCCATTTACTAATATTTGTTTCGGTTTGATGGTTTTGGTGATAGGATAGGGGGATGAAGATAATTTAATTATGTTACTTTAGTAGTTGAGGTTTAAATTTGAGAGAAACCGTCTTGGTCTTACATATATTCTTGCTATCATCTTTACCTATGTTCACAAGTTCAGAGAGGTATCTGATTGGTTGCAGTGAAACGTTGCAGGATTTTTTCCACTTCAGTGCTTTTAGTTAGTTTTGCTATTCTGTAGAACACTCAAGAAGGGGACTCAATAGTGTGACATACTCAGGATATTTCAACAGACTGACTCTGTCAACTCAGACAAAGTGCATCAGGTGTCTACATTTGACATGGCATCTTTTCACATGATCTTACTGATGACGTTAATGTTTCCTGGACAGCTGCTCAGACCACTATCCTCTTGCTGTGCTCTGTGAGTAGATGTCTTCCCAGTCAACTAACCATGCGATCCTCTCTCCCTGTGTCCCCTGCAATCTAGAACCAGAACAACCATGGCCAGTCGTAAGCGCATCCTGAGCTCTCCGGGGAAAGGTCCTGCCAGGCGGAACCTGTTTGGCCCAGTGGACCATGAGCAGCTGCAGCAGGAGTACCAGGACATATTGCGCAGAGACCTTGAGGACGCCTGTCGCCGCTGGGACTTCGACTTCCTGTCAGATAAGCCTCTGGCTGGGGGAGACTTCCAGTGGGAGGAGGTTCCAGGCACCAAAGTGCCTCTCCTCTACCTGCCCTGCCTGTTGGGTCAGGGGGAGGCACAGAAGGTCGGAGGGCCGGCGGCATCCACAGGGAGGGTCAGGACGGGGCCATGGCACCATGGCAAGGAAAACATCCCTTGCACCCCTGAGAAGTACAGAGCCAACCTCCAGAACCTGGAGAAAACACAAGACAAGAACGAGAACAAACTGAAGAGGAAACAGACCAACCTCACAGGTAGGAGGATTGGTGTGGTGGGTGGCTGTAGGGGATGTTTTTTGGGGAGGGTTTACAAGTTGGTAGGGTTGAACTGCTGGTTTACTTCAATGAAGTTTTGAACACAGAGTCCAATGCTAACAAAACATCTCTTGGTGTCTGTGTCTGCAGATTTCTACCAAGCCAAGAAGAGAGTGGTGGGTACGCCGCCTAAGTCAGGCTGGTGATTTCAGAGACACAGTCACAGCTGCCAGGGAGCCAACAGTCGGACAGACCCACAGCAAACGCTACTTCTCTCAGGAACCCACATGCTGCACAGACTCTAGGCACATAGAGTACATACAGTACACTTACCTGGAGGAATACATAACCATTACTCTAAACAAACGCAGTGAAAAATGAAACAACCTATTTTATTGAATCCATTACCGATGCATACTGTACTAATGATTTCAATGTAAGGGGGCTTGTGTTCTTCCTGTGGTAAGGGAGGGACATTCAAACAGTTCAAATGGTGCATCTAAGTTCATTTGTGAGTCATGTAAGGACATCCTCTAAACCTTTATGACCGTTTAGTGTAAGGAAGACTTGAAAATCTCACAGTCTGGACAGTTAAGGTCCTGCATTCGACAGCACTAAAATGGACCAATTGAAACCATGCCTCAGGGTCTACCCATAAACCGTCTTGTTTTGATGACCATGAAATTATGAAACCATACTGTTTACGGTGCTGAGGTTGAATCTACTGTAATATAGTGTCACATTGAGAGGACTCTTGAAAAAACGACCACAACAACACAATAGTCTTTAACAAAGTATTTCCAGTTCAAATGTCCAAATGTATGGATTTATGTTTTTTTCTTTAATGTTTTTTCATTATGCTGTGTCTCTTGGGAAGAGGACGAGGAATCATGTTATTGTCTGTCATTTGCAAGCACTTCCTGTCCAAAGTATGTATTGTTGTACATATTTAAATTGTGAAATCTCATGTATCTCAACATGTATTTTTAGGAAACTACTTGAAGGGTACTGTCGTGCATAAAATTGTTATGCTTATAATGCAAATTCCTATATAGAAATGTCACCAATGTTCCCCCTTTCTACCTAACTAGGGCTTCTTGCTATAATACTCTTGGAATTTGTTGATGGGGACCTCTGCAATGTTCTTTCAAGCTTTCCAAGTCTTTATACGAAGTCTATCTAGCATATGGCCATCTGAACACAAAGCCAGACATTCAAGTTTCCTTAGATAAGTATCAGATTTATCTTGAGATGTTAATATCACACTGTTAAGCAGTGAAACATTTAAAGTTTTCTTGCAGTATTGCACAATTTTTTTAATGTAGCCAACAGCAGGTACAAGTGCCTGTATGGAATTTGAATCTAAACAGAGGGAAATTGTGTCCTCAGAAACATAGCTATTTTTGACTAGGCTACAGCCACTGTTTTCTATTCTATTTGAAGAATAGTGCAATAAAATATACATGAAGTGTTTTTATCTGCCTCAAACTGTAAGATATTGGTCCATAACAGTTATTTATTGTTATGATGGCCGATCCTGCTGCAATGGGTAATTTGAATGGGGGTTAGACAACATCACTGTTTGGCAAAATTCCAGCTTTGCTTAATGTTCACAGCCACTTATGCACTGCTATGCAAATATCAGTATACATTACCCCAAAAATTCACTTATTTTTATAGATGTTGGTGCACAGGTCCTACATAGTGTTTATGTTCAAAGCTACAACTGAAATAGATTCTTATTTATTGTGAAACAAGGTTGTCACGTTTGTTTAAGGACGGGTCAGACCAAGGCGCAGCGTGAAATGCGTACATGTTTATTTCACCGATAAACACACGACAAAACAACAAACCAATGAAACGTGAAGTCCTAAGGCTAAACACAATACAAGCCTCCACACGGAACAAGATCCCACAACTAACTAGTGCCAATAGGCTGCCTAAGTATGATCCCCAATCAGAGACAACGAGCGACAGCTGCCTCTGATTGGGAATCACACCCGGCCAAACATAGAAACACACAACATAGAATGCCAACATAGAAAATACAACATAGAATATCCACACCCTGACTCAACATACAAGAGTCCCATGAGTCAGGACGTCAGTACCCCCCCCCAAAGGTGCGGACTCCGACCGCACCAACCTGACATGACAGGGACGGGTCCGGGTGGGCATTCCGCCTTGGAGGCGGATCCAGCTCCGGGCGTGACGACCACATTCTCTCAGCCTCCCCGTTACGCCCTTGGTCTGGTCTGGACCCCTGGTCTGGTCTTGGTGCGAGGAACAGGAACGGGCCGGGCCGGACTGGGAACATGCACCACTGGCTTGGTGCGGGGAGCAGGAACAGGCCGGGCCAGACTGGGAACACGCACCACTGGCTTGGTGCGAGGAACAGGAACGGGAACGGGCCGGACTGGGAACACGCATCACTGGCTTGGTGCGGGGAGCAGGAACGGGCCGGGCCGGACTGGGAACACGCACCACTGGCCTGGTGCGAGGAGCAGGAACGGGCCGGGCCGGACTGGGAACACGCACCACTGGCCTGGTGCGAGGAGCAGGAACGGGCCGGGCCGGACTGGGAACACGCACCACTGGCTTGGTGCGGGGAGCAGGCACGGGCCGTACCGGACTGGGAACTGACATTAGAGATCTCCGACTGTACCAGTCTTTCACTCTCCGCGCCCAGTCCTCCTCCCGTGAGGACTCCTCCCTGAGCCCCCACAAGTGCAGTGGTCGGGGCTCTTCTCCATCGATCCCCGACCACCCTTTTAGCCCCCCCAAATGTTTTTCTTGGGGCTGTCTCTCGGGCTTCCTCCTCGGCCGGCGCCTTCTGCGTTGCCGTTGCTCCTCTCTAAACCGGGTCTCCACTGTCTCCTCCCAAGGACGGCGATCCATCTCAGCCTGAATCTCCTCCCATGTCCAGGATCCCTTTCCGTCCAGGATCTCCTCCCATGTCCAGGATGTCTGCTCCTGGGCACGCTGCTTGGTCCATTTTTGGTGGGATCTTCTGTCACGTTCGTTTAAGGACGGGTCAGACCAAGGCGCAGCGTGAAATGCGTACATGTTTATTTCACCGATAAACACACGACAAAACAACAAACCAATGAAACGTGAAGTCCTAAGGCTACACACAAAACAAGCCTCCACACGGAACAAGATCCCACAACTAACTAGTGCCAATAGGCTGCCTAAGTATGATCCCCAATCAGAGACAACAAGCGACAGCTGCCTCTGATTGGGAATCACACCCGGCCAAACATAGAAACACACAACATAGAATGCCAACATAGAATATCCACACCCTGACTCAACATACAAGAGTCCCATGGTCAGGGCGTGACAAAGGTAGATATGTGTAATTGGTTAATTGACAATAAATACATACAGTGCATTCAGAAAGTATTCAGACCCCTTGACCTTTTCCACATTTTGTTACGTTACAGCCTTATTCTAAAATGGATTTAAAAAAGAAAATCCTCATCAATCTACACACAATACCCATAATGACAAAGCAAAAACTGGTTTTTAGAAATGTTGGCAAATTTATGACAAATACCTTATTTACATAAGTATTCAGACCCTTTGCTATGAGACTCGAAACGGGGAGCAGGTACGGGTCGTACCGGGCTGGCGACACGCACCACTGGCTTGGTGCGGGGAGCAGGTACGGGTCGTACCGGGCTGGCGACACGCACCACTGGCTTGGTGCGGGGAACAGGAACGGGCCGTACCGGACTGGGAACACGCACCACTGGTCTGGTGCGAGGAGCAGGAACGGGCCGGGCCGGACTGGCGACACGCACCACTGGCTTGGTGCGGGGAGCAGGCACGGGCCGTACCGGACTGGGAACTGACATTAGAGATCTCCGACTGTACCAGTCTTTCACTCTCCGCGCCCAGTCCTCCTCCCGTGAGGACTCCTCCCTGAGCCCCCACAAGTGCAGTGGTCGGGGCTCTTCTCCATCGATCCCCGACCACCCTTTTAGCCCCCCCAAATGTTTTTCTTGGGGCTGTTTCTCTGGCTTCCTCCTCGGCCGGCGCCTTCTGCGTTGCCGTTGCTCCTCTCTAAACCGGGCCTCCACTGTCTCCTCCCAAGGACGGCGATCCATCCCACTTTGTGTTGCTCATGGTTCTGATGCTGTCTCAGTCTCTTCTTGTTGTGTGAGGTGCTCTTATGCCTCTGCTCTGCTTCTGATTAATGATGAACTTGGAACTAGGAATGGTGATGTGAACTTCTACGGAACTCAGGTGTATCTAGATTGGGCGATATCAATAACCCACAATTTGATTTCCTTCTTTGATAAGTTCAAAAGCTTTATGGTGGTTATCACATCCACAATCCATTATATTTCAAGATATTGCTCGTATAGAGCGGTCAGTGACTGTGATAAGCAAAGCTCAGGCCACCACAATTGAAGTGTGGGATGTACTGTGCCAAACTCCAACAGATCTCAACAAAACATTTATTCACCTACTTGGTAAGGGTGGAGGACATTTTCTTCTATGGTAATATACCATGATGAAATACCATGATGAAATTGCAAATAGTTATATAGTTCTTAAAACTTAATTTCGTTTTGTGTGGATTTTCATGATTACTGATATCTGTGATATGATCCTCCAGTATGTGTGTAGGTTATTGTATATTGTTGAAAATAAATGTTGATCCAAAAAATAAAAAGCTTGATGGTGCTTATTCATAAAGAACCCTCAATAAAAAAAAATATTATGTTATAAACACAACTGACCATGTAAGTGTGACTGTGTGAGACATAGGCTATTTGTGATAAATAATGTATAAAAAATGTGACGTATCAAAATGTTAGAGTAATTAAATAATTTGACAAAGTCAAAGCCATCCAATTTCAATCTGAAAGAAGAGAGAAAAATATTGTATTTAAAGCATTGTCATCAAAGTGGTGAAATCCTCAAGACAGTACTAAAGTCATTTGTGCCCTGGTGACCAACTCGTTGTCAATCAGGTTGCTAAGAAGATGATGATAACTTGTTTACATCCCCCTTATCCCCAACCCTTCAATTCAGGAAGTCTGAGGAGAGCTCCTTGCAACCCTCCAAATCCCTACAGACCCCACAACCCCTTACCACAGAGAAATCAATAAATATATAAGAAATAAGGGAATAAAATATGAACCCATCCATCACAAAGAGACTATTATTAGTTCTCTGTTTTGGAAACCTTCATCAAGCACACTACAACCAGTGTATATTTCCATTTTCCTTTTTTAGGATTTGGTTTTCATTTTGTATGGACCTGCATAATGCTGCATCGTGGAACACTGAAGAAAGGGCACTCCTTTTTAAGCCTGGCCGTAGCTCCACATTCTTTGCAAACCACTGCAGCAGCCCTCCATAAACATGCGTGGGGCGGTGTATATTCAGGGTTTAAGGGATGATGGGGCTGCGATAGGCCCTGACACAAGCCCTGCTGTTCTCCCATCCCCCCTCCCTCCCCCTCTCCGCTTCCCTGGTCTCAGCCCACACAGGCACATGCACGCATGCGCTAAACTCTCCCCATTCCCCCCCCCCCTTCCATCATCTGTGACTCAGCTCACACAGCCGTGATAGAGCAGGGCGGCTAGCGTTTGCACTCAGAGAGAAGGGGAAAGAGAGGGAGGGAGAGAAAGAGAGACGCAGAGGCAGACAGAGCGAGCGTACAAGATACAAAAGAGAGCAAGAGCATAGAGAACGAGAGAAAGAGAGATGGAAGACAGGGTGGCTGCAGACATCTTTGCTATCAACAATGGAGCATGAAGCTCTGGTAAGGCGATAGGCATACATTGGGGAGGGGAGCGACATTGTGGAGAGGGGGTTACCATACCTGCAGTATGGTAACGTTCCCAAATTAATCTGTCACTGCACTGGTTTTGTCTCATCATCTTTTTGTGTTTACATTCATTCTCATTGACACCCATCACCCATGTCACGGTGCATGTCTCCTCCTCACATGTGAAGACCCCTTTTTTTTTAATGACATAGCCATCTGTCATTCCCCTGCTTCTGCTCTGGTCTCCAGGAACCTCATCCACTGTGGACATTACCCTGTGTTTTCACACACACTGTTGGATTTGAGCATCGGCCATTGCTGTGTGTGTGTGTGTGTGTTGTTTTTGTCTTGTTTTCCATCCAGAGTGGAAGGAACATTGTGTATTTCTTCCCTTCTTCATCCAGTCTGTAACTACATAAGCTTTCCATTAGCTCTCATTGGAATAAAATGAATAGATGAATAGCCTGGTATTGTAGTGCCTGCAGTAATTTGTCCTTTAAAATCATATGCATGTGTTTCAATACAGCTACCTGATTGTAACCTACTTTCTTAAAGTGTCACCTTGCTTGTCAGTGGATTTGTTGGAAAATAGTGTAGGGCCTTTGGGCTCATCTGAGACCTCTTTCACATGCTAATAAAATGCTAATAAAGCCTCAGTGGCCTGACTAGGTGAATTAGGGTAGAGCTCACTGAGAGATGTGTGGTGTCAATTGTCTTCCCTGGTTCCTGTCTGCTGTGCTGGGGTTGGTGACAGTAATGTTGTGATGTCTTCCCAGTCAACAGGGGGTAATAATTAAATACAACAAATCTCCCCTCAGAAACAACTAGATGTTTTTCTATCCAATGTAAACAGTCCACAGATGGTTGTGTCTTTAAGTGAGATGTTGTTACGAGGTTCATCACTGAGGGAGATTAGACCTCCATTGTTTGTCAAGCTGCCTGCCACGTTGCAGGGTAGAAGTGGTAGAGTACCCCTCAGGCTTATGTCATGCAGCATCACACCACTAGATCATACATCACACAAGCTTCAAAAGGATAGAATGTGCCTGCCCCCCATTGGTAGTTCAGATTTTTGTACAAAGCAGGCGACTGTTGTGTTTTATTAACTAAAATACCTAATAATCATGGTATGCATCATTGTCTTAGGCCTAGCCATCATCATCACCATCATTACCATCATCAGGGCAATGTGTTAAGATATTCATGTGAATTAAAATATACACTATATATACAAGAGTATGTGGACACCCCTTCAAATTAGTGGATTCGGCTATTTCAGCCAAAATCGCCTGTCCTCGGTTGCAACACTGACTACTGAGTTCCAAACTGCCTCTGGAAGCAACGTCAGCACAATAACTGTTCGTCGGGAGCTTCATTAAATGGTTTTCCATGGCCGAGCGGCCGCACACAAGCCTAAGATCACCATGCGCAATGCCAAGCATCGGCTGGAGTGGTGTAAAGCTCGTCGCCATTGGACTCTGGAGCAATAGAAACACGTTCTCTGGAGTGATGAATCACGCCTCACCGTCTGGCAGTTCACCCCCAATGCCCCAATGGATAGTACCAACTGTAAAGTTTGGTGGAGGAGAATGGTCTGGGGCTGTTTTTCATGGTTCGGGCTAGGCCATTTAGTTCCAGTGAAGGGAAATCTTAACGCTACAGCATACAATGACATTCTAGACGATTTTGTGCTTCCAACTTTGTGGTAACAGTTTGGGGAAGGCCCTTTCCTGTTTCAGCATGACAATGCCCCTGACCATATAGAAATGGTTTGTCGAGATCGGTGTGAAAGAACTTGACTAGCCTGCACAGAGCCCTGACCTCAACCCCATCGAACACCTTTGGGATGAATTGGAACGCCGACTGCGAGCCAGGCCTAATCGCCCAACATCAGTGCCCAACCTCACTAATGCTCGTGTGGCTGAATGGAAGCAAGTCCCCGCAGCAATGTTCCAACATCAAGTGGAAAGCCTTCCCAGAAGAGTGGAGGCTGTTATAGCAGCAAAGGGGGGACCAACTCCATATTAATGCCCATGATTTTGGAATGAGATGTTCGACGAGCAGGTGTCCACATACTTTTGGTCATGTAGTGTATATATTCTCACATTTTAGCATTTACATGTACAGCATGCACTGTGAAAACACTTTTTTTACTGAGAAGACAGTGATGGGAATGAGATATGTTTATTAAAGCTAGAATCCTTAGGTACTACATCCATTTTTGGTATTATAAATTAATGATATATACCCATTGATTCTTAAAGAACATAATATATAAATGCCTCATGAGCTTAGTTCAACTGTCGTTCCCCATCAGTACCCAAAATATACAGTAAACTTGTTTTACTCAATGTTTATAAACAATGTAAATGTAAACAAACACTGTATAGCCTCCAAACATGGTTACAACATAGATGGTCAGTCCTTGCATCCATAGCACTGTCTATGAATTTGAGAGTGGTTACTTCACATCAATCATGGCAACCACCTTCTTTCTGTCTGTGCACTCTGTCACCCCTGCCTCCCCCCACCCCCTTCCCTGCTTAGCTGGATAAAAGCGAAGTGACAACGTTGTGCCTGCCCCCCTCAGCCAGCCATGGCGGCTCTGACAGTAACATCAGCTTGGATGGGGCCGGGGTGGGTGCGAGTGCCGGGGCAGTGGCCGGGGTGGGGGCTGAAGGTTCAGGGGTCGTCGAGCCTCAGCGAACGCGGCTCGCTCTGGAGCACCTGCAGCAGAAGATCCTAAAGATCACTGAGCAGATTCGCATAGAACAGGAGGCGCGAGATGACAACGTAGCTGAGTACCTGAAGTTGGCCCACAACGCAGACAAGCAGCAGGCCTCGCGCATCAAACAGGTGTTTGAGAAGAAGAACCAGAAGTCTGCACAAACCATCGCCCACCTGCACAAGAAGCTAGAGCACTACCACAAGAAGTTGAAGGAGATAGAGCAGGTGAGTGTGTGTGTTTTACCCTGACTGCTGCTTTCTGACGAGATGATACGTTGTCACTTTCTAGGTAGGGTTGGGGCGGTATCCACATTACCATATTGATTACCATATAATTTTAGCGGAAGTAGTGCCGAAACAGCGGGTAGTTGAAAATACCTATTTCAACGACTAGGTTAGTAAAATACGACATGAGATGTCACTTACTCACTATCTTGAGGATAACACAGTGCCGCCGACGTGAGTAAGACATTTAAACGTGTTAACCCTCGCAAGGCTGCCGGCCCAGACGGCATTCCTAGCCGCGTCCTCAGAGCATGCGCAGACCAGCTGGCTGGTGTGTTTAAGGACATATTAAATCTCTCCCTATCCCAGTCTGCTGTCCCCACATGCTTCAAGATGGCCACCATTGTTCCTGTACCCAAGAATGCAAAGGTAACTGAACTAAATGACTATCGCCCCGTAGCACTCACTTCTGTCATCATGAAGTGCTTTGAGAGACTAGTCAAGGATCATATCACCTCCACCTTACTTGTCACCCAAGACCCACTTCAATTTGCATACCGCCCCAATAGGTCCACAGACTAATGAAATCGCCATCACACTGCACACTGCCCTATCCCATCTGGACAAGAGGAATACCTATGTAAGAATGCTGTTAATTGACTATAGCTCAGCATTCAACACCATAGTACCTTCCAAGCTCATCATCAAGCTTGAGGCCCTGGTTCTCAACCCCGCCCTGTGCAATTGGGTCCTGGACTTCCTGATGGGCCGCCCCCAGGTGGTGAAGGTAGGAAACAACATCTCCACTTCGCTGATCCTCAACACTGGGGCCCCACAAGGGTGTGTGCTCAGCCCCCTTCTGTACTCCCAGTTCACCCATGACTGCGTAGCCATGCACGCCTCCAACTCAATCATGAAGTTTGCAGATGACACAACAGTAGTAGGCTTGATTACCAACAACGATGAGACTACAGGGAGGAGGTGAGGGCTCTCGGAGTGTGGTGTCAGGAAAATAACCTCTCACTCAACTTTTAAAAAACAAAGGAGATGATCGTGTACTTCAGGAAACAGCAGAGGGAGAACCCCCTATCCACATCGACGGGACAGCAGTGGAGAAGGTAAAAAGTTTTAAGTTCCTCTGCGTACATATCGCTGACAAACTGAAATGGTCCACCCATACAGACAGTGTGGTGAAGAAGGCGCAACAGCGTCTCTTCAACCTCAGGAGGCTGAAGAAATTTGGCCTGTCACCTAAAACCCTCACAAACTTTTACAGATGCACAATTGAGAGCATCCTGTCGGGCTGTATCACTGCCTGGTACGCAACTGCACCGCCCACAACCGCAGGGCTCTCCAGAGGGTGGTGCGGTCTGCACAACGCATCACCGGGGGCAAACTACCTGCCCTCCAGGACACCTACAGCACCCGATGTCACAGGAAGGCCAAAAAAATGATTAAGAACAACTACCACCCGAGCCACTGCCTGTTCACCCCGCTATCATCCAGAAGGCGAGGTCAATACAGGTGCATCAAAGCTGGGACTGAGAGACTGAAAAACAGCTTCTATCTTAAGGCAGACTGTTAAACAGCCATCACTAGCACAGAGAAGCTGCTGCCTACATACAGACTTGAAAATCACTGGCCACTTTAATAAATGGAACACTAGTCACTTTAATAATGCCACTTTAATGTTTACATATCTTGCATTACCCATCTCATATGTATATACTGTATTCTATACTATCTATTGCATCTTAGACTATGCCACTCTGATAATGACATTGCTCATCCATATATTTATATATTCTTATACCATTCCTTTACTTTGATTTGTGTGTGTTAGGTTTTTGTTGTGGAACTGTTAGATATTACTTGCTAGATATTGCTGCACTGTCGGAACTAGAAGCACAAGCATTTCGCTGCACTCACAATAACATCTGCTAACCATGTGTATGTGACCAATACATTTGATTTTGATTTAAAGAAAAAATTGTATAATAGAAAAGCAAATAAGAATGATTATCTTTATCTTTCAACCACTACACACATTGATTGCAGGTATTTATTTAAAAAGTACAAATATTGACAGTTTCCACGGTATTGGAAATCATATCTCCAGTATTTCAAAATACATCGGTATACAGTATTATCATATACCTGCCCAACCCTATTCCTAAATAGATTATCTGATTGTTCGGTTTAGATTGTTACCTCTTATTGATGAAGCATGTGTTTATGTTCTCCGATCTCCCTCCTCTGTTGTCTCACCTTCACCATTCCACTTTTATTTCCATCCCTTTCTCACCACTTCTCCATCCATATATCTGCTGCTCCTTCACATCCTGTCAATCTATTTCCCTCCTCTTCCCACTGCCCCATTTCTTTCAATTTCTCCCTCTCATCTTCCATCCCCCGTCGTCCCTCCACCCTCCTTATAGAATGGTCCTGCCCGTCAGCCTAAGGATGTGCTGCGGGACATGCAGCAGGGGCTGAAGGACATGGGAGCCAATGTACGAGCAGGGTTCCATGGCTTTGGCGGGGGTATGGTGGATGGGGTCAAAGGAGGGGTGGAAGGGGTCAAAGGAGCTGTGGTGTCTAAGCCACGGGAGTTCGCCAGCTTGATCCGCAACAAATTTGGCAGTGCAGACAACATCTCCCACCTCATAGAGGACGGGGTGGGAGGGCACTCGGAGGACGCGCCTGCTCAAAGAGCCCTGAGTGGCAGTGCCACCCTGGTCTCCAGCCCCAAGTACGGTAGCGATGACGAGTGCTCCAGTGCCACCTCTGGCTCAGCCGTGGGCAGTCACTCAGGTTGGGCCGGGGGCGGAGGTGTGATGTCGGGGCAGGGGCAGGCTGGCCTGGGGAGCCCCAGACTGGAAGGGCACCACCACCATCACCACCACCACCACATCCACAGCTCCTGGGATGCGCTGCTGGAAGGCCTGCAGGAGATCAAGGCCAGCCAGGCCCACATGGAGGACGCCATCGAGGACATGAAGAGTCAGCTGCAGAGTGACTACTCCTACATGAACCAGTGCCTACAGGAGGAGAGATACAGGTACAGACCAACACCTAGGCCAAGCATGGAATGAGAGTTGGTGGTATACATTGTTCTCACACTAACTGCTGAACAAGCTGCTTTGCTTTTAGCTTGTTTCAGTACAGCAGTGTAAATCATGTTCAGTGTTTATGCTGAATGATATTCATGAGGATAATTAAATAGGTCAGGAAAACTGGTACAACAGGTTTGGTACATTTCAAATTTGGTCAAAATCAGAAGTAGTTGTTTTAACATATCAAATCAATGTGACACCTTGAAAACGCCATAAATATGTACAAATCTTTCTCTAACTTGTTGAATTGGTCTTCACTTTGCTGGTCTAAATTATACATAAATGTTTTATCTATCTTTCTATTTAGGTATGAGCGACTGGAAGAGCAGCTGAATGACTTGACAGAGCTGCACCAGAACGAGATGACTAATCTGAAACAGGAGCTTGCCAGCATGGAGGAGAAAGTGGCCTACCAGTCCTATGAGAGAGCCAGAGACATTCAGGTAGAGACCTGGATTTACAGTATAAGATGTACTAAGATTACACAATACTTTTTCTGTAGATAAGCACACAAGTATGACTCCAGAAATGAACCTTGTACCCGTAATTCTGTTGTAACTGTGTGTTTGTGTATACATGTAGGAAGCGGTGGAGTCGTGCCTGACCCGCATCACTAAGTTGGAGCTGCAGCAGCAGCAGCAGCAGGTGGTGCAGTTGGAGGGTGTGGAGAACGCCAACGCCCGCGCCCTATTGGGCAAACTCATCAACATCATCCTGGCACTCATGGCCGTAGTTCTGGTCTTTGTCTCCACCCTGGCCAACTTCATCACCCCACTCATGAAGACCCGAGCGCGGGTCGCTGCCACGGTCATGCTGGCCCTTTTCCTGTTCATCCTCTGGAAGCACTGGGACTTCCTGGAGCTGTGGCTACTGCCCAGCTAAGCTCCCCTCAGCCAATCACCCACTCCCGTGTCTGAGTGACCAGGATGTGGACAGCGGGACCAGATTGATACACTAAGCTGCCCCAGACACACTAAAAGTCTGGAACTTAGTCATATTTCTGAAAGGGAACCGTTGCACTTTTTTCATAGGGTTTATGCTTGGAGAGTTGTACTTATGAGTGTTGTAAGGCACAAAACCTTTTCTTTACAAAGCAACTGGAGAAGACTCCCTTTGGATGGCAGATGGTGGCCATTTTCTGTTGAGTGATGGTTGAGAGAGACTTTTTAGGAGGTGATTTTATGGTGATTACCATGACAAGGAACCTGAGAAACTATTTGCCTGGTCGCTTGGCAACTCAAGCATTTGCTCTTTCTCATGACTAATCTAGTGGCGTCAACTCACCATCGTACTACTGTAGTCACTACGATTTAATTACAATTTGAGAATTCATGTTGAAATTGACACATTTCTCTAAAAATTTTAGTATAGGCCTACACTTAAAAGTGATAATGGATAGAATAACAAATTATACAAATTATGCTTTGCTAAACCATATTTGCTGTTACAGTACCTTTGTATTGAGCCAATTGTATATTTGGAGGACATGCTGAATGTTAGGGTATGTACTACTCATGCATGTCCTCACTTGTGCATTTATACCTGTGTGATGCACTTGGCATCAGTAACATTCCAACACCAACAGAAATACTTGTTACTCTTTTCTTACTATTCTGTTGTCTATAGACAGTTTGTACCTAAGTGTTCTTCTCCATATTATTTCTAAAACAGTCAACTAAATCACTTCTGGTGTTTAAACTACACGTTTTGGGTGCATCAATCGTTTTCATCTCTTATGTGTGATGCAAAGAAGAACTTTGGAAGGCCAGGAAGTATTCTGGTGAGATGGATCATCACAACTACTCAATTATCTATTCTGAGCATCAATGCCATTTCATAACCACTGTGGTAGAGCAGCTAAGAATCTATCTAACGTCAGATCCACAGGCATGTTTGACCATTGCTTCCATATTTCTATCCAGTTTGCTAAATGCATCACATCTCTGTTGCATTCGTAATAAATACATTCTGAAACTATATGCTAATGTTGCATGATATTGGAAAGTCGGATGGTTTTCATGGAACTGTGTATATCTAACAGTATCGACTACAGAGAGTAGAATAATAATACTAAGTAATCAGTGATAACCTGTGATCTGCATCGTGTAGAAGTTACTACTAGTTTCAAAGACAGTTCCACAATCTACAAAATCTCAATGTAACCCCCTTCTAAATTGAATTCCAGCCTGGTTCAAGCTAAAGGTTTTTTATATCAACTCCCTGTAGGAGACAGTTTGTTTAAGCTGTAACCTATAATAAGTGCAGCTTTTTACTAATCGAGTTATAACCTCCCTTGTGTCCATCATTTCAGTCTGGGCTGGGTTGAGTTTACACTTGGTTTCACATCTAAAAATACTGTATGTGCTTACAGAAATGCAGTGAATAGCCTCTAGAAATGTCTTCAGCTCCAGCTCAGCTGATTATTCAACTAATCCAGTGGATTACAGCATTATTTACACTTAACTGCCCCCCTCTCACTTTGTGACTGGGTGAGAGGTAACCGATTGGATTTCAAATGGTTTGGGAAGGACCACACATTTACATTTTGGCAACAGAACAAACCTAATAGTTCACTATTCTTAGCAACAGTACAAAATAAACTTAACTATGGAACACTCAAAGGCTTAGACTGAGCCCTAAAAAAAAGATGATTTGTCATGGTTTTGCCAGGTGCAGTAAAGGAGTAAAAAGGTCTTCAGTGAGGATTTCTGTGGAAAGGCCTCAACCATCAGACCCTGACATATCCTAAAAATATGTCATGTAAAATAGTCACAATCCCCTAGGTGAGTTTCATCAGCACAAAAGGCACCTCCTGGTGGGAATATGGATATTATTTTGTTTCTTTTGTAAACTTGATCAAGGGAAGTATTCTTAGATGTTCAAGGAATTATTCCGGCGGGCTAGTAGTCACTCGCAAATCAAACTTGACTGAACCTGAAAAAGTTGTTCGCTCAGAAAACAGTAGCATATAGTGAGAACCAGAAATTTAAGACAGCCATCAATGTAAGAGGTCAGCAGGTAGTACATTACCAAATCTATGCACACAGAAATGATTTTCTTGTTTTTTAACATTGTCTGACAATTATTGATGAAGGGTTTTACAACGTCAAGGTCATGACGTGAAACCAACTGACCTCAAAAGTAAGCATTCAGTTTCCCTTTCAGTTCACATAAATGAATTTTGTACACTGGACAAAAATATGAACGCAACATGTAAAGTGTCGGTCCCATGTTTCATGAGAGGAATAAAGTACCCAGACATTTTCCATACCACAAAACTATTGTGCACATGTTTCCACCAGACATTTCTTGCCAGGTATCCTTCACCTGACAGGTGTTATAGAATGGTCTGCCCGTCAGCCTAAGGATGTGCTGCGGGACATGCAGCGGGGCTGAAGGACATGGGAGCCAATGTACGAGCAGGGTTCCATGGCTTTGGCGGGGGTATGGTGGATGGGGTCAAAGGAGGGGTGGAAGGGGTCAAAGGAGCTGTGGTGTCTAAGCCACGGGAGTTCGCCAGCTTGATCCGCAACAAATTTGGCAGTGCAGACAACATCTCCCACCTCATAGAGGACGGGGTGGGAGGGCACTCGGAGGACGCGCCTGCTCAAAGAGCCCTGAGTGGCAGTGCCACCCTGGTCTCCAGCCCCAAGTACGGTAGCGATGACGAGTGCTCCAGTGCCACCTCTGGCTCAGCCGTGGGCAGTCACTCAGGTTGGGCCGGGGGCGGAGGTGTGATGTCGGGGCAGGGGCAGGCTGGCCTGGGGAGCCCCAGACTGGAAGGGCACCACCACCATCACCACCACCACCACATCCACAGCTCCTGGGATGCGCTGCTGGAAGGCCTGCAGGAGATCAAGGCCAGCCAGGCCCACATGGAGGACGCCATCGAGGACATGAAGAGTCAGCTGCAGAGTGACTACTCCTACATGAACCAGTGCCTACAGGAGGAGAGATACAGGTACAGACCAACACCTAGGCCAAGCATGGAATGAGAGTTGGTGGTATACATTGTTCTCACACTAACTGCTGAACAAGCTGCTTTGCTTTTAGCTTGTTTCAGTACAGCAGTGTAAATCATGTTCAGTGTTTATGCTGAATGATATTCATGAGGATAATTAAATAGGTCAGGAAAACTGGTACAACAGGTTTGGTACATTTCAAATTTGGTCAAAATCAGAAGTAGTTGTTTTAACATATCAAATCAATGTGACACCTTGAAAACGCCATAAATATGTACAAATCTTTCTCTAACTTGTTGAATTGGTCTTCACTTTGCTGGTCTAAATTATACATAAATGTTTTATCTATCTTTCTATTTAGGTATGAGCGACTGGAAGAGCAGCTGAATGACTTGACAGAGCTGCACCAGAACGAGATGACTAATCTGAAACAGGAGCTTGCCAGCATGGAGGAGAAAGTGGCCTACCAGTCCTATGAGAGAGCCAGAGACATTCAGGTAGAGACCTGGATTTACAGTATAAGATGTACTAAGATTACACAATACTTTTTCTGTAGATAAGCACACAAGTATGACTCCAGAAATGAACCTTGTACCCGTAATTCTGTTGTAACTGTGTGTTTGTGTATACATGTAGGAAGCGGTGGAGTCGTGCCTGACCCGCATCACTAAGTTGGAGCTGCAGCAGCAGCAGCAGCAGGTGGTGCAGTTGGAGGGTGTGGAGAACGCCAACGCCCGCGCCCTATTGGGCAAACTCATCAACATCATCCTGGCACTCATGGCCGTAGTTCTGGTCTTTGTCTCCACCCTGGCCAACTTCATCACCCCACTCATGAAGACCCGAGCGCGGGTCGCTGCCACGGTCATGCTGGCCCTTTTCCTGTTCATCCTCTGGAAGCACTGGGACTTCCTGGAGCTGTGGCTACTGCCCAGCTAAGCTCCCCTCAGCCAATCACCCACTCCCGTGTCTGAGTGACCAGGATGTGGACAGCGGGACCAGATTGATACACTAAGCTGCCCCAGACACACTAAAAGTCTGGAACTTAGTCATATTTCTGAAAGGGAACCGTTGCACTTTTTTCATAGGGTTTATGCTTGGAGAGTTGTACTTATGAGTGTTGTAAGGCACAAAACCTTTTCTTTACAAAGCAACTGGAGAAGACTCCCTTTGGATGGCAGATGGTGGCCATTTTCTGTTGAGTGATGGTTGAGAGAGACTTTTTAGGAGGTGATTTTATGGTGATTACCATGACAAGGAACCTGAGAAACTATTTGCCTGGTCGCTTGGCAACTCAAGCATTTGCTCTTTCTCATGACTAATCTAGTGGCGTCAACTCACCATCGTACTACTGTAGTCACTACGATTTAATTACAATTTGAGAATTCATGTTGAAATTGACACATTTCTCTAAAAATTTTAGTATAGGCCTACACTTAAAAGTGATAATGGATAGAATAACAAATTATACAAATTATGCTTTGCTAAACCATATTTGCTGTTACAGTACCTTTGTATTGAGCCAATTGTATATTTGGAGGACATGCTGAATGTTAGGGTATGTACTACTCATGCATGTCCTCACTTGTGCATTTATACCTGTGTGATGCACTTGGCATCAGTAACATTCCAACACCAACAGAAATACTTGTTACTCTTTTCTTACTATTCTGTTGTCTATAGACAGTTTGTACCTAAGTGTTCTTCTCCATATTATTTCTAAAACAGTCAACTAAATCACTTCTGGTGTTTAAACTACACGTTTTGGGTGCATCAATCGTTTTCATCTCTTATGTGTGATGCAAAGAAGAACTTTGGAAGGCCAGGAAGTATTCTGGTGAGATGGATCATCACAACTACTCAATTATCTATTCTGAGCATCAATGCCATTTCATAACCACTGTGGTAGAGCAGCTAAGAATCTATCTAACGTCAGATCCACAGGCATGTTTGACCATTGCTTCCATATTTCTATCCAGTTTGCTAAATGCATCACATCTCTGTTGCATTCGTAATAAATACATTCTGAAACTATATGCTAATGTTGCATGATATTGGAAAGTCGGATGGTTTTCATGGAACTGTGTATATCTAACAGTATCGACTACAGAGAGTAGAATAATAATACTAAGTAATCAGTGATAACCTGTGATCTGCATCGTGTAGAAGTTACTACTAGTTTCAAAGACAGTTCCACAATCTACAAAATCTCAATGTAACCCCCTTCTAAATTGAATTCCAGCCTGGTTCAAGCTAAAGGTTTTTATATCAACTCCCTGTAGGAGACAGTTTGTTTAAGCTGTAACCTATAATAAGTGCAGCTTTTTACTAATCGAGTTATAACCTCCCTTGTGTCCATCATTTCAGTCTGGGCTGGGTTGAGTTTACACTTGGTTTCACATCTAAAAATACTGTATGTGCTTACAGAAATGCAGTGAATAGCCTCTAGAAATGTCTTCAGCTCCAGCTCAGCTGATTATTCAACTAATCCAGTGGATTACAGCATTATTTACACTTAACTGCCCCCCTCTCACTTTGTGACTGGGTGAGAGGTAACCGATTGGATTTCAAATGGTTTGGGAAGGACCACACATTTACATTTTGGCAACAGAACAAACCTAATAGTTCACTATTCTTAGCAACAGTACAAAATAAACTTAACTATGGAACACTCAAAGGCTTAGACTGAGCCCTAAAAAAAAGATGATTTGTCATGGTTTTGCCAGGTGCAGTAAAGGAGTAAAAAGGTCTTCAGTGAGGATTTCTGTGGAAAGGCCTCAACCATCAGACCCTGACATATCCTAAAATATGTCATGTAAAATAGTCACAATCCCCTAGGTGAGTTTCATCAGCACAAAGGCACCTCCTGGTGGGAAATATGGATATTATTTTTTTCTTTTGTAAATTGATCAAGGGAAGTATTCTTAGATGTTCAAGGGAATTCTTCATGGGTGTGCTAGTAGTCACTGCGACAAAATCAAGAACTTGACTGAACCTGAAAAATGTTGTTCGCTCGAGAAACACAGTAAGCTAATATAGTGAGAAACACAGACAATTTAAGACAGCCCATCAATGTAAGAGGTTACAGCAGGTAGTACATTAACAAAATATATGCAAGTAACACAGAAATGTAAGTATTTTCTTGTTTTTTAATCATTGTCAGGCAAACCCCATATGACAATTATATTGATGACAGGTGCTTTTACAATACAGAACTCAAGAGATCATGACAGGCCAATGGAAAGGCCATACCTGACCTCAAAAAGTAAGACATTCATAGTCATTAGATTATTCCAACTTTTACAGTTCACATAAATGAATTTTGTACACTGGACAAAAATATGAACGCAACATGTAAAGTGTCGGTCCCATGTTTCATGAGAGGAAATAAAAGTACCCAGACATTTTCCATACACACAAAAAACTAATTTTGTGCACAAATTTGTTTCCATCCCTGTTAGTGAGCATTTCTCCTTTGCCAAGGTAATCCTTTCACCTGACAGGTGTGGCACATTAAGAAGCTGATTAAACAGCATGATCATTACACAGGTGCACCTTATGCTTGGGACAATAAAAGGCCACTAAAATGTGCAGTTTTGTCACAACACAAAGCTACAGATGTCTCAAGTTGAGGCAGCATGCAATTGGCATGCTGACTGTAGGAATGTCCACCAGAACTTTTGCCAGAATGTTAATTTCTCTACCATAAGCCTCCAACGTCGTTTTAGAGAATTTGGCGGTACGTCCAACCGGCCTCACAACCGCAGACCACGTGTAATCACGCCAGTCCAGGACCTCCACATCTGGCTTCATTACCTACGGGATCGTCTGAGACCAGCCAACCAGACAGTTGATGAAACTGTGGGTTTGCACAACCGAAGAATTTCTGCACAAACTGTCAGAAACCGTCTCAGGGAAGCTCATCTGCGTGCTCACCACGGTCTTGACCTGACTGCAGTTCAGCTTCGTAACCGACTTCAGTGGGCAAATGATCACCTTCGATGGCCACTGGCACGCCGATAGAAGTGTGCTCTTCACGGATGAATCCCGGTTTAAACTGTACCGGGCAGACGGCGTGTATGGCGTCGTGTGGGCGAGCGGTTTGCTGATGTCAACGTTGTGAACAGGTACGGGCAGGCATAAGCTACGGACAACGAACACAATTGCTTTTGATCGATTGCAATTTAAATGCAGAGATACCGTGCCAAGATCCTGAGGCCCATTGCCGTGCCATTCAGCCGCTGCCATCACCTCATGTTTCAGCATGATAATGCACTGCCCCATGTCGCAAGGATCTGCACAGAATTCCTGGAAGCTGAAAATGTCCCAGTTCTTTCATGGCCTGCATACTCACCAGACATGTCACCCATTGAGCATGTTTGGGATGCTCTGGATAGAAGTGTACAACAGCGTTTCAGTTCCCGCCAATATCCAGCAACTTCACACAGCCATTGAAGAGGAGTGGGACAACATTCCACTCTATGCGAAAGAGATGTGTCGCGTTGCATGAGGCAAATAGTGTTCACACCAGATACTGGCTGGTTTTCTGATCCATACCCCTAATTTTTGGGGGGTTATCTGTGACCAACAGATGCATAGCTGTATTCCCAGTCATGTGAAAGCCATAGATTAGGGGCTAATTAATTCATTTAAAATTGACTGATTTCCTTATATGTACCTTAACTCTGTAAAATCTTTGAAATTGTTGCATTTATATTTTTGTTCAGTGTATTTGATTCATATCAAGACCAGCAGTACAATAACTCTTGAGAATCTGGCAAACTATTAAGACCCCAAATAGAAACAGCAGAGTAGAAAAAAAACTACGTATTACAAAGCTGAAGAATTCCTGATTTTATCTTGGATTTCATGTCATGATGTCACACGTATATTGCTTGCAGGTGCTCCACTCCAGTGAAATGGGTACCCCTCTTAACCCAAACAATTATCCCAACAACACACTCTCCAATATCTCAGTCCTTTGTTCATTCTTCCATCCATTTCTACCCATGAACTGAGTTACCGGACTCCAACCAGAGCCTAAACTAGCCTCTACAATTAAGGTAGGAGGAGAAGAGAGCTGCCACATGACATAGAAGTCAATAAAATATCAGAAGGAGCCCATTGATCATGGGATCAATAACCTAAGCCCCTCCTCCATAAAGGTGCAGCATGACGCCAGTTGGCTCAATACAGTTTCCATCCATCTCCAAAGTAGCTGTCTGCCACACAACCCCATACCTCCATTCAAGGTAGGGAAATGGAGTACATCAAGGAATATCTACACACCATCTATACCATTCATTCTGTTGGCCCAGACCAAGGCCTTCAAGCCTGAGATATCCACAGCAGAACGTGTCAGAACGAGAAAGGTCATAGTGAGATAAAGATGACACTGGGTTGGAGACTAAAATGCCCTTGGCTGACATCTCATTGTGGTTGAGAATACAGAACAGAGGTAGGCTAGGCAACATTGGTTATGGAGTGTCTGATAGTATCTGCAGGCTTGCCATAATCCACCCAGGCTCTGAATCACCTGATGCAATTAATCATCTCTGATCCTGAGCCACAAAAGGGAAACTCAATTAGTTTAGCCACGGAAGGATTCCTATTCCGTTCCAAATGGCTGCTGTTCATCACCCTAGGAGGGAGATAATAAACATTGGTGGAGGATGAGGCAAGTTAACTCCTATACAATGTAAAGCACTTTGACACCTGGTGAAATATATAACTAACCGTGATCAACGTTGCTTTCCCTTGTGGTACAACGTTCAGTAGCTCTCACATGGCTGTTAGCATACCAGACTCAACAAATGTGGGCTGAGTTGTTTCAAGCCAGGGCAAATCTAGGTGTAAACCAGGATGTAGCCTGGTAGAGGAAGTGTAACATGCCCAGGCAGACCCCTAGGCAACAGACACAGATATAGGTCTCAGTCCCCCAGACCAGGTAGACATCAGTCAGGTAGTACACCCTGGTGTAGGGTGTAGGAGAGAGAGGGGTCTAGGCAGACCTCTGGGTATAGAACAAAATGTAGGCCTGAGTGTTGCACACCTCCTCCACGCTGCACACGTTCATCTCAGAGTCATTACAGTGGACCCAGAAACCTGGAAACACACACAGGGAGGGGGCTGGTTACGGCTACAGTCCCAACAGGAACTCATGTATTAGGTTACACTTGGAGCAAACTGTTTATGAGAGTCAACTGCACTACACAACCAAACTATACATTTTACCAATTCATCATGTTTTTTAAATCTGAAAAGACCACATGACAATTCCACCTAAACTGTAGGCTATTCTAAGAAAGAGTTATTAGCTTTGATGCAAGTTTCTGATATCTTGGTCCCACTCACCTCCCTCTGTGTTGTAGCAGTATGCAGTGTAGTGCCCTGAGCCAAAGCCTTTCCCGTGGTGCATGACTACAGCAGACAGGTCGTAGGTGTAGCCCTCTCTGTGAACCGACTGGCCCGAGTCTGTGCAGCAGTAGGGCTCTATGTTCAAAACCTGGTCAAAGGCCACATGGACGCCAATCTTCTCCCTGTGGTTCCGGCCTGACCATCTGTCACAGAACAGGGATTGGTTATCTTATGCTTGGCCTTGTTACAAGACATCCCCTTGCAGAAATATACAATCCTACCAACTAAACCATAACACACATTTGGAAACCAAGAAGGACAGACACGATAGACAAAGTGGTGGGTGTAAGCAGACAAAGTCTTCAAATGCAGTAGACAAACTGGGTGTATTTGAATAAATACTTCCTGCAAATGTAATAAACGCTCTGAATGACCAGTATGGACCTAAAGCGTTTGAGGTGCAGCCGTAGAACCTGAGGTAGGCGGTAGATCAGCAGCTGCTTACATGCCTCTGACAGAACCAGGGGCTTGTGGGACGTCTTCCGTCTTTTCCCTGACAAATATAAAACAGAGGTCACAGACATGTAACATGGAGGTACAGGACGTGACCACTAGAAAAGCAGAACTATATTGTGATTACCCCGAAAGTACAAACTCAGTTTCACTTTCAATATCCGTCTATTGGCTAATTGGTCAAATAAAATCTAGCCCAAAATGAGAGAAACACACAATAGTGCTCTCCAGCTTGTAGTCCTAAAAACCGGAAACACATACTTAGGAGATCTTATAGGTTTTGTGCTATGAGATAATATCAGTCAGTTAACATGACCTTTATGAATTATGACGCCAGTTAACATGATCTTTATGAATTATGACACCTTTGTGCTTTTTTAAATTAAATGATAAATTCAAAAAGTGACTTCAGTTGATTAAGATTATCTCATAGAACAAAACGTATAAGATCTCCTAAGCCTGTGCTTACCACAGACCTTATTTTCGGCGTGTATCCAAAACCTACAAAAACTCCATTAATTTCCCCCATAGGCTTTGTCCAACAAACCATGGCGGTGTTAGTGCCTACAAAAAGACGCCATTACTATTGCTCTCTATAGGCCTACTTCCCTAACCATGATTCTGGTTGAATAGCTGAATAAAAAGGATAGCAAAACACAGTACAGGAGGATTAGTCTATTCCACAAACAGACATGAGTCTCTGTCCCAGTACTAACTGTTGCAGTGGTTGCAGGCATAGATGCTGCCCTCCAGGGCCTCTGTCTCAGTGAACTTGGCCAGCATCTCAGTGAGGGAGCAGCTGCGCTGGTAGGCCAGAGATGCAGCCGAGCCCTTCTCCATGCTGTGGTAGCGCTCCGGGAACTCCAGGGACAGGTCCCAGAACGGCTCCACCGTGTTCGACTTGTGCTTACAGGACAGACAAGTCACCTGGACGGATACAGGGATAACCAAGCAAACATTTCACCAAGGGCTAATTAGTTGAAAAACCAGAGAGCCGACATCCAAGTCCTGGTTTGCAACTGTATTGCCCTGCTGGACTTGGGAAACTTGGAAAAGGGCTCAGTAAAAAGCAATAGGTAGCTCTTAAAAAAGACTCAGCTGGAGTGAAATCCAGCAATCAACTAGTATAAGGAGAGAAAACCTAGTCTAAAGTGGGAAAAGCTTAAACCTAATGTGATTAATAAACATCATTAGGTCTTTAGTGACTACCTTCAGCCATGATAGGGTGTTGAAGGTCAAACCTAAATAAATGAATGTGTTGTGTACTATTGCCATGGGAATGAGTTGAGTCCCTTACCTGGCTGAGTAGCTGTCCGTGAAAGATGGTGTTGAGGACCTTGAGCACCTGCTTGGAGAGCTTCCTCTGGGTGATGGGGATGACGATCCTGCGCTTGCTGCCCTCTGACTCCAGCTCTTGCTGTACCTTGTCCAGCAGCTCACACAGGAACTCCTGGGCGTCCTGCTGGTCGTAGCCGCGGAACGCTGGGATCAGGTTCCACACAGAGTGTAGCATGGCAAAGGGCGACACCAATGACCATCGGCCCGACCACATGACCCTGAACAGTGTGTGCAGCTCGTGGCACAGTGACATCTGCTGGCGGGTGGAGGTGCGCGGCTCCTTGGACTGAACCAGCTCTGCTGCGTTTAGGCAGGGGGGCGAGCTCTGCTTGCTGACAGCAGTGAGACCCCCACTGGCTGCCTTCCCCATGCCACGTCCCAGAGGGCAGCCTGGTGTGGCTGCACTACCACTCCCCACCACAGCCCCAGCCACACCCTGGTTTGTCTTGGCCAGCAGCTCCTCAGTCTCACACATGTCCAATGTGAGGAAGCACTCCCTGAATTTCTGCAGGTGGCTCAGCACCTGTAAGATAGAGTTCATGTAGCACGTGTTCCCAAGGTTACGTAGCCCTGTGACCCCCGGGGCCAGTCTACGACGGGTCGCTTTATGGGAGGAGTAGTACCTCCGTACTTTGAGTTTACGGGTCCTGCCATTGCTGGGGGGCTTCAGGGATAGAAGGGAGGGCTTTTTGGGCGGAGGCAGACGCTCCGGAGGGTCGCGGAACTTCAGGGGGATGAGTGTGATGGTTGAGCGGGGTGCCTGGGTGAGCAGCCTGGCACTCTTCCTGGGCGGCACATTGGCCAGCTCTCCCATGAGTCTCCTCTTCACCTCATTCTTCTGGCGCCGGACCTCCTCAAGTTTCTCCTCCCGCTGGCTCTGTTCCTCCTGCTGCCGGCTCCTCCAGCGGCGCAGCATCTTCCCCAGCAGCACCTTCCTTCGGTGCCATAACGCCGTCTGCATGGCAGGCTGGGGCCCGCTCTCGCCCACCCAGGGGTTGCAGTCACCCCCTGCAGAGGAGCGCAGGGAGCGCCTGCCAGGGCTGCGCACAGTGGAGAGCGCCCCTCGCAGGAGCTTGAGGTCTCCTTCAGCATTGTCGTTGAGCACATAGTCCCCACAGGCGAAGCAGAAGACGTCCAGCTCCCGCACCTCCATGGCCAGGGGGTGGTTTGACTCCTGGAAGTGTTTGAGGGAGTGCTCCTCCATGAAGCGGCCACAGGCCACGTGGGAACACTTGAGACAGGCCCACACTGACTCGGTGGTGCAGCAGTCCATACAGCGCCATTTCTGTGAGTTGAGGATGGAGTGTTCGTGGCCTAGGCGAAGACGCCCCACGTGCTTACAGCGGTCCATCTCTCCAGATGCACATGTGCCTGCCCACAGCGTCAGGACACACGCCTCTGTGCCAAGCAGCAGCTCATCCTGCAGGAAGGAAACAGAGATCAACTTCAGTACATCACAGGGATAGAAAATCAACCGCTTCATTTCAGATATGCTAAATGCAAAACGTTCTCTATATGAAAGTAAACTGACGGCTGTAGCATTCTGAAACATTTTTTAGGACCAAGAATGTGAACTTGTACACCATGTCGGCTTGTTTTACTTACTGTAAAAAACACTGTGTGCTGATGTAAGTCAGTGTTCTTTCAACATAAGCAAAGGGACCTTCAGGTGCATTCAATCAGCTTCACTCATGTCTGGTTCCGGATCCTGAATAAACTGAAAATAAAATCGGAAAATAAATTGTGCTTGTATAGTGAGTTTTGTACATAACAGTTGACAGATTAAGACATTAATTTGAGCAAAGCAAATATGATTCTAACAAACTTAAAGCAAGTAGCTAGTTCACTAAGTGTGAACATTTACTTGACAGTTTATTAGCAGAATTTAACACAGCTTGTAAACAAAACATAATCATGTTAGGCAATTGAGTTGAGCAGTTGAACACTTTATTAGCCTGCCTGAAAATGAACAAACAATCGATTCAACCATAAAAACAAACAAAGGGATCAAACTGGTCAATGTGCATTGGGTTGGCGTCCAATCAATTGGCTCGATTCAAACTACTAACTAGCTAACTTAGGTTAGCAGTTTTCCCATCTTGGCTTGCCAACTAGCACCAGTTTTGCCATATAACGTGGCAACTCGGCTAGTGCCACAATGAAAATGTAACGTTAGCTACTCACTCCAGCTGATACCACTCGACGCGGGTTATAGAGAGAGTGTGTTCTTGTTCACTTAACCAGCAAGTTCCAACTTATTGTCATGTTTAGTTAGCTATAACGTTACATAGCTGTCCAGGTAGCTAGCTCGCCAATATACACATATCTACCTACTTGTTGGTAACGTTAGCTAACTAGCTAGCTAGCTATGAAGGTTAGCTAGCTAGGGCGATTAAGTTTTACAACACATTCACTGTATTTCTTCAATCATTTGGCTAATGGTACAATAGCAGACATTCTGATCAAATAAAGAAAAAGTAAAACGTCCTTCACCTCATAATGGTGTCCCTTATACCGGTGTTCTTTATTTCTTTAATTTAACACAATGCAGAGAATCAATAGCCTGATGATGGCTAGCATTAGCTAAGCTAGCTAGGCTTGCTAGCCATCAGAACAAAGACTAGTCTGAAATCCACTCTTGTGAACACTGAACAACTTCTGGTTGATATGGTTGACTACACGGAGAAAAAAAATCACTGCCGTTTTGCCATCTAACTAGCTAGCATGCTAGCTAGAATCCACAATGTAAACAAAGCTAAATGTGTCGTATATCAACTTTTGAGTACATCTTCAAACAAAACACCGGGAGGTCAACATACAAATAAAGTCACAGATTCTCAGAAAACCTGCAATGTAGCTATCTAGCTAACAGTAAAATGAAACCCTAACTTCCAGAGGTTGACAAAACACTACACGACAATGTCAGTAGTTGATCCCTAAAATAACTGTTTGTTGTATTTGTAAAAAAAAAAATACAAAATGCGTTCCGCTTCTATTTACCGCCATCATCTGCACGCGAAAGATGTTTTAGACCTCGAGACAACCGAACTATTTCGGTCCTGGAATCAAGTCATTCTGATTGGATTGAACTGATCCCTCTTCCGTCGAGCTTTAGCTCTCATTGGTACAGACAGGATGTAGCATTCATTACTTTGGTCGTGAAAAGATGCAAACTGATCTGATGGTTATTATTTCCATACTAAACAATCTTTGTTATTACCCATAGTAGTCCACATTATTTGAGCTCAGTTGGTCATGGCTTTTCACCTGGAGACTGATACATTATCGGAACAATGAATAATTGATTTATTTCAATTAGTATGGCATACTTTTTCCATTCATAACGGCTGAAAAAGTCCCCTATAAACCATTCATGACAGGACTGTACAGTATACACAAAATATGTCTATGGTTAATAAGTCTAATATTTTTCCGCAAATACAGTTATGAAAAAGAGGAGCTTGATCAATTTAGGTAAACATAGGTTTATTGAGTTAAAAAAACAGTGTTACAAAAAGTGTTTTGTCAGACAATTTTTAAAATAAAAATAACCAACTATTAGTAGGACCATAATGCCCAGATACAACGTTACTATCTAAACTGAATGTCCTTTAAACCGATTACTCTCAAGGATAATCCACAAGACATTTGGGACACAGCATTATTCTGTCAAGAGTTCAGACTTCAACCAGTAAGATTTTGATCTCATTTTTGGCATGATATATTCCTTGCAGTGGTTGTGAAATCCTTTGATCAGTTTGAGTTGCTGTACTGACGCTCAGTACAATTTAAGTTACACAACAGTGTGGCTTAAGATGACGTGTTGCTTGTGTTGGGGTGTGGAGGAAGTACTGCTGCCCTCTTGGTGGTGCTTCTTTATCAGAGATTATCCAGAACTTTCCTGCTGCCATGAAGACGTCAACGTGTGGTCCCTGGGAGCACCTGCTGTTTGCGCACTTTGCTGAACAACTCCAGGTACTGGGTCATGGTGTCAACACAGTCCGCGGGCACATAGAGGCCCTCAGGTTTGTTGGCGAACACAGCGGGCAGCTCCGGGATGCTGGGTCCCAGGAAGCTTTGCATGAACTCTTTCATCAGGTTCCAGCAGTCCCCAGGGACCACACATGGACAGTACTCCACCTAAACAAATAAAGAGATTTGATCGTGGACATCAGTTTAGAAAAAGTGTGACACAGATCAGACAAATCCCCTTTACCCTCCATTGTGTTAATTGGGTGTACAGACCACTCACCTCTACTGAAATGCCCCTCGCGCTGGAGCTCATTGTTACCGCTCCAACCTTTATCAGGAAATCACAATAGCGGTAGCGGGAGCCACGGCTCTCTACCTTGTGCCCCTTGGCGTTCTGGAAGTGGCTTTTCAGCTTAATCATGAGCACGTCAAAGTTTCCATCTGCTGTGAGGCAGGGACCTCCTTCGAACAGGGCTAAGCAGCTCAGGGGGGTTTCTGAGTTATGCATCACATACAGAAGTTTGGTTGGCTGGCCTGTGACAAACAGAGAGAAATAGAGAGAGAAAAGAAAGATGGTTGTTGTCGCCTTGTGGGTAGTTGAAGGATGTAGTCCAATGGATTACATGACAAGATATGAAAGACAATGTTGTTTATGTCATAGCTTAGTAGTACAACTTTAGTTACCGCTGGCATTTCCTGTGGCATGGTACGTCTCACAGTCCACAGTAAAGTTTCCCTGCTTCACAGCGCCCAACTGCTCCAACTTCTTGTGCAGAATGTCTATTGTCTGCTGCACACTCTTTCCCTCTGCCAAAGGCACCTGACACACACTAAGCAAGGGAGACAGCACACTGAGTATAAATGTTCATAACATTAAGATATTGTTCAGCATTAACTTACTGATTTCCAAAAATCACATATTGAAACAATGTCAGATCTGAATGGTGATGTAAGATGCTAGGAAGCTTGGATGAAAAATATACCAGGTGACAGATCATTGAGTTGTGTACTGTTTCCTGTTGATCCACATGGGATCTTGGACCATGTAAAAGACCAGGTGTGATAAGTAATGTAGCTAGCTAGCTATTGATATGTTGTTGGATACAAGTTTGATAAAAAAGCAAACAATAGAATCTCACCAAGTCACCCCCATTGATTCAAGCCGTTTGTTATTTTCTTACTACGAAAATGAACACGCTTCCTGCTGAAAAATGGTCTGTTTCCGGTATTAGGAGGAAATGAGGTAATCTGTCTGCGCCTACTTTTTTTTCTCGTGCGTATAACATTTTAATGCATTAATTTTGTTCATATAAATGTTTTGAAGATAAAACAATTCCAATTTATCCAGTAATACATACCAAAGGCGTTGTTTCCTGTTCTAAATGGCTCTGATATTATGTTTCGTCCCCGATACTACGTCACTTCCGTTGGATAAAAACGCACGTGTGTTGACTGGAACCTTTTGGTGAGAATTTCCACATTAGCTACTTCATGAATTAGTAAACTTCGAAAAAGTCTGTATAGTAAACTAACACAGATGCCGAAAGTGAAGAAATCGAAAGGTGGAGGTGTTGAGAAAGGTGGCGACGAAATGGTTGCGCTGGCTGACCAGATTCTTCAAGGGGATATGGTTCGAGTACATGGCCGAGTGAAGACCAGGGATCAACGGGTAGAAGATGAAGACGAGTACGTGGACGAACGCCTATCAAGGAAGATCCTGGAGCAGGCACGAATCCAGCAAGAAGAACTACAGACAGAATATGGCTTGGCACCAGAGGTCAAGAAAAAGCAAGCCACTGTTTTAGGTAAGGTGAATTTGCAAGCCAGAAAATGCCTGTCTGCTGATGTTTTTTTGTCTTGCTAGCTAGCTAACTATCCACAACAACCACACATTACACTTGACTACTGAGAACCTTTTCATGGAGGTCAACTCCAGTCATTGTTATTCCAGTCATTGTTATTCTTGAAGTGGTGTGCTATGCTCAGTTATGCAGGTGGTACAGTTTCATGGAATATGGATGTTGTCATATACCCTTGCAGGGCCAGATTCTCAGGATGCAGACTCTGATGAGGAGTGGCCGGCGCTGGGTGAAGCCGGGGCCGGTGAGGAGGAAGAGGCTAACTGTGGGACAGAAGTGGTGGTTGACCCAGAGGATGAGAAAGCTATGCAGATGTTCATGAACAAGAATCCTCCCATGAGGTATAGCATGAGGCCCCAAAACTCTGAACCAAACCACTGTGCTTAAAATCTTGACGATGAATGATTTGACATTTTTTGTCAATTTTTTATTTTATTTGTTAAAGACACCTAGATGCCATGGAATATGACAACAGCACTATCATGCCATAAAAGTGAAATTCATGTTTTCTCTTCCAAAAAAGAATCATAACTTTGTAGCTTTGGGCCCCGTGAAACTCAGTTGGTAGAGCATGGCACTTGCAACGCCAGGGTTGTGGGTTCGATTCCCACAGGGGGGGCCAGTATGAAAAATATATAATGTATGCACTCACTAACTGTAAGTCGCTCTGGATAAGAGCGTCTGCTAAATGACTAAAATGTAAAATGTAGCTGAGTATGGATTTCCTCAGTGTTGTCCTTGTTCTGTTTTTTCAGACGAACTCTAGCAGACATCATCATGGAGAAGATCACAGAGAAGCAGACAGAGGTGGGGACAGTGATGTCTGAGGTGTCAGGAAGACCCATGCCCCAGCTGGACCCCAGGATCATTGAAGTGTACAAAGGTGTCAACAAGGTAACCCTGCGACTGGCCACCTGTCATTTTCCATTCCATCAGATTTCAGTCAGAACAGTCAGAGGCTGAATATTACCAACTGATATTATTAACTGGTTTTTCTCGGTTGCTCCAGGTTCTGTCAAGATATCGTAGTGGCAAGCTGCCCAAAGCTTTCAAGATCATTCCAGCACTGTCAAACTGGGAGCAGGTTCTGTACTTGACAGAGCCTGAGACCTGGACTGCTGCTGCTATGTACCAGGCAACAAGGTCTGATAAAAAATTAAGAGGAGGATTTGTTAACATCTATCAAAAACCTTTATTTAATTATTAGAAAGCACCTCATGGATATTTATTACCGACACTGATTTTTCTTCTTTCTGAACAGAATCTTCTCATCCAATCTGAAGGAACGAATGGCCCAACGGTTCTACAACTTGGTGCTACTGCCAAGGATACGAGATGACATTGCAGAGTATAAAAAACTAAACTTCCACCTGTACATGGCCCTGAAGAAGGCTCTTTTCAAGCCAGGGGCATGGTTCAAAGGTGAGACAAATCAAGAACATGTATCAAAGGGGAGAGAAATAGTAAGGTAGATGATCTGAAAGCTTGGTTGATAATCAATTTATGGTTGCCAGGATGTAATAATGGGGGATGAAAGATAATACACATTTTGATGTCAGGTATTCAACACTTTTGCCAAGGATACTACTTAGTGGGTTTTGTTTTGAGTTGACTTTGGCAATCAGCCAAAAGACAGTCGTTTTCACTAGGTGGCAATATTGTCTAACCAGATCACAGACTGAACCAGATTTAGACAGTTATTTTAGTTATTTACTGTAAGCAAGCAATGGTAAATGCTAAGTGGAATGCTTGGGATGACCCAACTCTGACATCACCCCATTGAAGTTGGCATTGAAAATGGGTAAGGTAAGGGATAAGGTTAGACTTAGGTAAGGGTTTTGGTTAAGGCAGGATCTAGGGGTAAGGTCAACACAAGGATTCCACTTAGCATCTACTGCAAAGGGTAAAAAAAGCTATGGTGTTGTACCTTAGCTTGAGTTTTTATCTCAAGGAAAATAAGAATGATCAACTATGATCTATTTAAAGGTGAACTATGTGGAAATCGCTCTGCCATTTCCTGGTTGCAAAAATTCAAGTAGTTAACCTAATTTCAGTTTATGTGACAAAACAAGCAAGTATAGTGTAGAGAATCATTGTACCATCTAAACCGCTGTGAAATATATTTTCCATAACCAAACATATTGTATTTTCAGCTGTTTGAAGCTAGTGTACAAAAATCTGCAACAATTAAACTTAAGAACAGCTCTACCACTTCGTAGACTTGCTTTCAATGAGAAGACAGATCTATAACTCACAGTTCTATGTGAATTTGGTTGGGTGGGCCAAAAATTGAGATATTGCAGCTTTAACATTTCTTGTGCATTTGTACAATATGTGTTGTACAATATTTTATCTATTTGTTTCCAGGTAACGACTTTGTACCCCTTAACCCAGCATATGTTTAATGTGTTTTATGTGTCACTGTGTGCTCACACATCTCTCTTTCTCACTCAGGCATCCTCATCCCGCTCTGTGAATCTGGAACATGCACTCTCAGGGAGGCTATCATCATTGGCAGCATACTCACAAAGTGCTCAATCCCTGTACTGCACTCCAGGTAAGATACACTCTTTTACCTGAGTTATGTGTGCAATTTTGTAAGGTCTATGATGCCCTAATGTGATTGCTCAGCTTGCTGCTTGGCTAGGGACTTGGTTTTTAACAGTTGCAGCTTGACTGTTGATGATCATGTATGTAGGAATTCATGTGAATGTGTGGTACAACAGTATTTAAGGTAGTAGAACAGCATGGCTTGCCAGAAAATAATGCAGTAAACAAATTACTCTGATTCTCTGCAGTGCTGCCATGCTCAAACTGGCAGAGATGGAATACAATGGAGCCAACAGCATCTTCCTGCGACTCTTACTGGATAAAAAATACGCCCTGCCCTTTCGTGTCCTGGATGCCCTGGTCGGCCACTTCCTGTCCTTCCGCAGTGAGAAGCGCGTCCTTCCTGTGCTGTGGCACCAGAGTCTGCTCACCCTGGCACAGCGCTACAAGGCCGACTTGGCCTCCGAACAGAAGGCTGCTCTACTGGAGCTGCTTAAGGTGCAGACACACCCCCAGATTTCTGCAGAGATCCGTCGGGAGCTGCAGAACTCAGAGTCCCGTGATCTGGAAACCGCCATGCCTGTCACAATGGCTATGGACTGAGTATGGAGCTGAGCAAGGCCGCACCCTCTGTCTCAGTGCCCACCTTTCCCTTCTTTCTCCCCAACATACCCTCATTTACTAAACTGCCCACAACACATACATGTGTGAACTGTTTTTCCCATGCCAAATGCTCTATCATTGCTATGGAGACAAGAGTAAAAGCTAAAAGAGATGGATTACAGATTAACATTAATTCAACATCCTGACTATCAGTGATATTATGGAATTCCTTTCTAATGTGCAAGTGAGGATGTAATTTACAAACCGAAATACCTAACTGTCGTAAACATACATTCAATTTATTGAGTGGAAATGATAGAGATGTGTTTGCCAGTTTTTAAGCAATGTCTGTTTCACAAGTAAAGATAATGTATAAGCTGACTTGTTTGTATGACTTCATAATTTCCAAAGGAATTTAGAGTAGCAATAGCACACTGACCCTTTTGGGGGGGGGGAAACAAATATTTTCAATGAGTGCATGTTTGTAACATGGTTGTGAGCTAATGGAGGAAAATTATACAAAATACTATTAAAGTGTTACTGGAAAAATTAACATTTTGAATAAATTGTTTCCTTGCTTTAAAGTGAAATGTCTGAAGTTGCATTGCTACCACTCACAAAAAAATAGAGCACATTTCACAGCTAGCTAGAACTCTTACCTATGGAAGCCTGTTACCGCTACCCAAAAACAAATCTGACTATGAGATGAAGTCATTATTATGAGATAGTAAGTCTGGATCATGGACATTGAATAGTCAACAGATCTGCCCCTTTTAAAGGGGCAATCTGTGATTCAAACTAACAAAGCATACTCCCCGCCACTTTATTTGGTACAGTGCCTTGCAAAGGTATTCATCCCCCTAGGCATTTTTCCTATTTTGTTGCATTACAACCTGTTTTTGATATGGATTTTTATTTGGATTTCATGTAATGGACATACACAAAATAGTCCAAATTGGAGAAGTGAAAAAAAAAAAAGACTTGTTTAAAAAAAAATCAAAAAAATCAAGAATGGAAAAGTGGTGCGTGCATATGTATTCACCCCCTTTGCTATGAAGCCCCTAAATAAGATCTGGTGCAATTACCTCCAGAAGTCACATAATTAGTTAAATAAAAGTCCACCTGTGTGCAATCTAAGTGTCACATGATATGTCACATGATCTCAGTATATATACATCTGTTCTGAAAGGCCCCAGATTCTGCAACACCACTAAGCAAGGGGCACCACCAAGCAAGCGACACCATGAAGACCAAGGAGCTCTCAAAACAGGTAAAGGACAAAGTTGTGGAGAAGTACAGATCAGGGTTGGGTTATAAAAAAATATCAGAAACTTTGAACATCCCACGGAGCACCATTAAATCCTTTATTAAAAAATGGAAAGAATATGGCACCACAACAAACCTGCCAAGAGAGGGCCGCCCACCAAAACCCATGGACCAGGCAAGGAGGGCATTAATCAAAGAGGCAACAAAGAGACCAAAGATAACCCTGAAAGAGCTGCAAAGCGCCACAGCGGAGATTGGAGTATCTGTCCATAGGACCACTTTAAGCCGTACACTCCACAGAGCTGGGCTTTACGGAAAAGTGGCCAGAAAAAAGCCATTGCTTAAAGAAAAAATAAGCAAACACGTTTGGTGTTCGCCAAAAGGCATGTTGGAGACTCCCCAAACATATGGAAGAAGGTACTCTGGTCAGATGAGACTAAAATTGAGCTTTTTGGCCATCAAGGAAAACGCTATGTCTGGCGCAAACCCAACATCTCTCATCACCCCGAGAACACCATCCCCACAGTGAAGCATGGTGGTGGCAGCATCATGCTGTGGGAATGTTTTTCATCGGCAGGGACTGGGAAACTGGTCAGAATTGAAGGAATGATGGATGCCGCTAAATACAGGGAAATTCTTGAGGGAAACCTGTTTCAGTCTTCCAGAGATCTGAGACTGGGACGGAGGTTCACCTTCCAGCAGGACAATGACCCTAAGCATACTGCTAAAGCAACACTTGAGTGGTTTAAGGGGAAACATTTAAATGTCTTGGAATGGCCTAGTCGAAGCCCAGACCTCAATCCAATTGAGAATTTGTGGTATTACTTAAAGATTGCTGTACACCTGCGGAACACATCCAACTTGAAGGAGCTGGAGCAGTTTTGCTTTGAAGAATGGGCAAAAATCCCAGTGGCTAGATGTGCCAAGCTTATAGAGACATACCCCAAGAGACTTGCAGCTGTAATTGCTGCAAAAGGTGGCTCTACAAAGTATTGACTTTGGGGGAGTGAATAGTTATGCATGCTCAAGTTTTCAGTTTTTTTTGTCTTATTTCTTGTTTGTTTCACAAAATGTTTTATTTTGCATCTTCAAAGTGGTAGGCATGTTGTGTAAATCAAATGATACAAACCCCCCCCAAAATCCATTTTAATTCCAAGTTGTAAGGCAACAAAATAGGAAAAATGCCAAGGAGGGTGAATACTTTTGCAAGCCACTGTAAACAGCTGAGGAATGGGGCAGGAGAAATGTAACCACTCTCAAATACATAGACACAAGGACTCTCACGAATGGATGCAAGGACTGACTATCCATGAGATCAAAATGATTGTTTTAACCATGTTTCGAAGCTATACAGTGTTTGTTTACAATTACATTGTTTTAAACAATGGAGTAAAACAAGCTTATATTTTCGGTTCTGATGAGGTAATACCATTGCTCATGAGGCATTTCTAAGTTACATTCTTCAAGAATCAATGGCTATATATTAAACCAAAATTGGATGTACCAATCCCAGATTGCCCCTTTTGATGGATTTAATTGAATTAATGAATTAATTAAACCTGATATCATCCAGATGTCATCAAACAGTCACCAATTCACATCAACAAAACTCCAATCCATTAATATGGAACAATATCACCACAAACTCTCTCTCTCTCTCACACACACACACACACACACAAGACACACACCCTAAAGGATATACGGTTGAAGTCGGAAGTTTACATACACCTTAGCCAAATACATTTAAACTCAGTTTTTCACAATTCCTGACATTTAATCCTAGTAAAAAGTCCCTGTCTTAGGTCAGTTAGGATCACCACTTAATTTTAAGAATGTGAAATGTCAGAATAATAGTAGAAAGAATGATTTATTTCAGCTTTTATTTCTTTCATCACATTCCCAGTGGGTCAGAAGTTTAAATACACTCAATTAGTATTTGGTAGCATTGCCTTTAAATTGTTTAACTTGGGTCAAACGTTTCAGGTAGCCTTCCACAAGGTTGCTTGCAGGCCGAAGAACACATTTACATTTACATCATTTAGCAGACGCTCTTATCCCGAACACCATCCCAACCGTGAAGCACGGGGGTGGCAGCATCATGCTGTGGGGGTGCTTTGCTGCAGGAGGGACTGGTGCACTTCACAAAATAGATGGCATCATGAGGAAGGAAAATTATGTGGATATATTGAAGCAACATCTCAAGACATCAGTCAGGAAGTTAAAGCTTGGTCGAAAAATGGGTCTTCCAAATGGACATGACCCCAAGCATACTTCCAAAGTTGTGGCAAAATGGCTTAAGGACAACAAAGTCAAGGTATTGGAGTGGCCATCACAAAGCCCTGACCTCAATCCTGTTGAAAAAGCTTGTGCGAGCAAGGAGCCCTACAAACCTGACTCAGTTACACCAGCTCTGTCAGGAGGAATGGGCCAAAATTCACCCAACTTATTGTGGGAAGCTTGTGGAAGGCTACCTGAAACGATTGACCCAAGTTAAACAATTTAAAGGCAATGCTACCAAATACTAATTGAGTGTATGTAAACTTCTGACCCACTGTGAATGTGATGAAATAAATAGAAGCTGAAATAAATAATTCTCTCTACTATTATTCTGACATTTCACATTCTTAAAATAAAGTGGTGATCCTAACTGACCTAAAACAGGGAATTTTTACTAGGATTAAATGTCAGGAATTGTTAAAAACGGAGTTAAATGTATTTGGCTAAGGTGTATGTAAACTTCTGACTTCAACTGTAGATGTCCTAACCGACTTGCCAAAACTATAGTTTTTAACAAGACATTTGTGGAGTGGTTGAAAAATTTGTTTTAATGACTCCAACCTAAGTGTATGTAAACTTCCGACTTCAACTGTACATAATGTTATCCTTAAAAGTTAAGGAGGGCCTGATGCAAAGTGCACATTGGATTCCTGTGATACAGATCGCCTAAACTTATCTCACAATTATGACTTAATATATAATTATTATGACTTCCATATCTCATAATTATGACTTATCTCACAATTATGACTTAATATATCATTATGACTTACTATCACATAGTTATGATTTGCATATCTCATATCTCATCTCATAATTAATGGTGTAAAGTATTTAAGTAAAAATACTTTAAAGTACTACTTAAGTAGTTTTTTGGGGTATCTGTACTTTTTATATTTTACTTTTACTTCACTACATCCCTAAAGAAAAGAATGTACTTTTTACTCCATACATTTTCCCTGACACCCAAAAGTACTCATTACATTTGGAATGCTTGGCAGGACAGGAAAATGGTCCAATTAATGCACGTATAAAGAGAACATCCCTGGTCATCCCTACTGCCTCTGATCTGGCGCACTCACTAAACACATGCTTCCTTTGTAAATTATGTTGGAGTGTGCCCCTGGCTATCCGTAAATAAAATAAAAAAACAAGAAAATTGTGCCATCTGGTTTGCTTAATATAAGGAATTTGAAGTGATTTATAGGTTTACTTATGATACTTAAGTACATTTAAAACCAAATATTTTTAGACATTTACTCAAGTAGTATTTTACTGGGTGACTTTTACTTTTACTTGAGTCATTTTCTATTAAGGTATCATTACTTTTACTCAACTATGACAATTGGGTACTTTTTCCACCACTGCATAATTATGATTTACTATCTCATAACTTGCAGTCAGATTTTCTTTTTTGGTGGCGGGAACGAGCTTCCATAGCCACCTCACTTGCTTCTAAACATTATATTTCACATAGCTAATTAAAGTAATGTGAATGAGAGGAAAGGTACTCAACCTACTTATTTGACATCTCAAGATAAAGGACATTCTGAATCTTCTGAAAATCAAGCACATTTCTGCTCTGTGTTAGCTAGCTAACGTTAGCCGAAATGAGGCCTGAGGGTAAGGTAGAAAACGTTGTTAATTATTGAATTGAGTTTGTAGGCTAACTGAGGGAGACCCTACTAAAGTCGACCAAAACTCCAACATCCCTCCAATGGAGTTGTTGTGTCATGAAGATGGACAATTCCAAACCTCCTCAGAAAGCACCACCGAATGTATGGATTCCACTGCTCTTCGGGCCAGCTCTGACCCGACCTTGACACGGGACCAACAAACATTGTATAACTTTCTGTCCCTGGAAAAGACCAGTCGGACATCACCATCATACTCTGACAAGATTCAGACAGACATTCATCCATATATGTGGAGAATATTGACAGTATGGCAGTATGGACAAAATATCCATAGTGAATTACATCATATTCAGGTCACGTGGTAGCCTACTTTTGATAGAATGCTACTGTCAATGCAATGTAATTAATTAATGGACCACCATCAGCCCACAGCAACACTGTCATCCAAGTTTAGTTATCTCAGTTCGCATTGTTATGTAATGCACTCATCAGCCTACATTGCACCTGAAAACAAGAGCCAAGACGGACTCCCTTGGACTGATCTTTTCCAAAAGGGTCAGTGTGCTGTTGTTCTCTAAATAGTATCATAAAATAGAGACACATTGGAGGACTACAGTACAAAAGCTACAAGAAAACGGATTATGAATATGATGAGATCTCCTCTCTGTCCAGAAAGCTACCATTCAAGCCACCATTCACCAGCTCTGCAAGAGTTATGTCAAAATACAAGCAACCCATTTTTTTATTTTTATGTATTGTTTTTGACCGGAAGAGCGGTCAAATACAATACATTGACATTTTTGTGGTTGCTTGTAGATTTTTATTTAGACCCGGTAAGCAGTGGTGGAAAAAGTACCCAATTGTTATATTTGAGTATAAGTAAAGATACCTTAATAGAAAATGACTCAAGTAAAAGTGAAAGTCACCCAGTAAAATTCTACTTGAGTAAAAGTCTAAAAGTATTTGGTTTTAAATATACTTAAGTATCAAAAGTAAAAGTACGAATAATTAGAAATTCCTTATATTAAGCAAACGGCACAATTTTCTTGTTTTAAATTGACGGATAGCCTGGGGCACACTCCAACACTCAGACATCATTTATAAACAAATCATTTGTGTTTAGTGAGTCCACCAGATCAGAGGCAGTAGGGATGACCAGGGATGTTCTCATGTTAATGTCACATTTCAGGAGAAGACCCAGATGCAGACAGTGTCGAAGTAACAAAAGTTTATTACAAAAACAGGTCACGCAAACGACAGGTCAAGGGCAGGCAGAGGTCAGTAATCCAGATCAGAGTCCAAAAGGTACAGAACAGCAGGCAGTCTCAGGGTCAGGGCAGGCAGAGGTCAATAATCCAGGGTGATGTCTCCTGGAAACAGGAGACAAAGGGCTGTGAGACATGGGTTTGATCCTAGACAGCGTCAGGAACAAACATCCAGTTATCTGCCCCCCCCCCCCCCCCCCCGGCTGGGAACGCTGCGCCTCCCGGACCTGCTTCCCTATTCCCCAACTGAGTGCCGTTGCCAAGCACGAGGTGGGAAGGATGGTCTCGGATTCCGGGGGTGTAGCCACGGGGCTATAGCAGCGTTACAGCGCATCTGGCTTGACTTTCTTGGTTCCCGGTCGGTATGAGAGGGAGAAGTTGAACCGGGTGAAAAGCAGGGCCCACCTAGCTTGCCTGGAATTGAGATGCTTGGCGGTGTGGAGATATTCCAAGTTCTTGTGGTCTGTCCACACAATGAACGGATGTTCCGCTCCCTCCAGCCAGTGCCTCCACTCCTCCAACGCCATCTTCACCACGAGAAGCTCACGATTCCCCACATCGTAATTCCGCTCTGTGGTGTTGAGGCGATGGGAGAAGAAGGCGCAGGGATGTAATTTGAGGTCCAGGGCCGAACGCTGGGACAGGACCGCCCCCAGTCCGACATCTGATGCATTGGCCTCCGCCACGAACAGGCGGGACGGGTCAGGATGAACCAAGATGGGAGCAGTGGTGAAACAGTGTTTGAGGTCCCGTAATGCCCGGTCAGCAGCTGGGGACCATATGATCGGAACCTTGGGAGAGGTGAGTGCAGACAAGGGAGAAGATGAGGATGTTGTCGAGGTAGACAACGATGAACTGGTTCAACATGTCGCGAAGAACATCATTAACCAGGGCCTGGAACACAGCTGGAGCATTGGTAAGGCCAAATGGCATGACGAGATACTCGTAGTGACCGCTGGCCGTGTTGAAGGCAGTCTTCCATTTGTCCCCCTCCCGTATCCGCACCAGGTGGTAGGCATTCCGTAGGTCCAGCTTGGAGAACACGTTGGCCCCCTGGAGCGGCTCGAAGGCAGAGGAGATGAGTAGTAGAGGGTAGCGGTTCTTCACTGTGATGTTGTTGAGGCCCCGGTAGTCGATGCACGGGCGCAGGGTTTTGTCCTTCTTCTCCACAAAGAAGAACCCTGCGCCGGCGGGGGAGGCAGAAGGACGGATGAACCCGGAAGCTAGGGAGTCCTCAATGTAGGTCTCCATAGCCTTGGTCTCTTGATCCGACAGCGAGTACAGTCTTCCCCGGGGTGGAGTGGTGCCTGGGAGAAGCTCTATTCCGCAGTCGTAGAGTCGGTGTGGCGGAAGCGAAGTGGCCCGGGCCTTACTGAACACCTCCCGGAGGTACTGGTACTCCACGGGAATGGCGGAGAGGTCCGAGGCAACTTCCGAGCCCCCAGGAAGACGTCCTGGTGCAGGCTGCGCTGACTTCAGGCAATGAGCATGGCAGAACGGGCTCCAGCCCATGATGGCACCAGTAGACCAGTCAATAAAGGGGTTGTGTCGCTGGAGCCAAGAAAAACCCAATACCACAGGAACCTGAGGAGACTTAATTAGCAGGAATTGGATCCTCTCGCTGTGGTTCCCTGATACTCGTAGGTTGACTGGGGTGGTATTGTGGGTGACCCAGCCTATAGAGCGCCCGTCCAGCGCTCTAACGTCCATGGGAATGGAGAGGGGCTGAGTGGGGATGCCCAGCTCGGACGCCAGGGTAGCGTCCATAAAGCTCTCATCGGCCCCAGAGTCGATGAGTACCCGGAGAGATTTCGACTGGTTCCCACACAGCAAGATGGCATGAAAGGGGATGCGAGTAAGGGGAGAGGAAAAGTTATCCCAATGGCCCACCTGAGTACTCGCTCCTACCGGTGAGCCTGGTCTTTTAGTGGACAGGTGGACACAAAATGACCAGTAGTCCCGCAATACAGGCAACTCTTTGTGTGAAGCCTGTATTGCCGTTCGGCTGGAGACAACCTAGCTCTGCCTAGTTGCATCGGCTTGGGAAGAGGTGAACCGGCAGACTTCGGAGACTCTCGGGGGAACTCGGGTAGCCTCGGGTTCTCTCTGCAACGGAGCAGTCGGGGACTTCCGGGATGCCTCGGAGGCGAGGTGGAATCTTTGGGCGGGCGAGTGGAATCGGACTTCCTTCCTTCATTCCCGTAGTCGCCCATTGATCCGAATGGTCAAGGCGATGAGCGAGTCGAGATCCGTTGGTAGTTCCCGGGCTGCAAGCTCGTCCTTTACTTCCTCCGATACTCCGTGCAGGAACGTGTTGTGCAGCGCTTCTGGGTTCCAGGCACACTCAGCTGCTAACGTGTGGAAATCCACTGCATAGTCTGCCACACTGCGGGATTCTTGCAGAAGCAACTTCTGGTGCAGCCTCTCTCCCGGACAATGGTGCATCGAAAACCTTATTTACCTCCTGCATGAACTCCTCCAGACTGAAGCATACGGCCGACTGTTGTTCGCACACTGTCGTAGCCCAGGCGAGAGCCCTCCCGGACATCAGCGTGATGAAGTACGCTATCTTAGAGTGGTCCGAGGGGAAGGAGGAGGGCTGCAGCTCGATGATGAGCGAACACTGAGCGAGAAATGCCCGACAGGTTCCCAACTCTCCAGCGACGCGTTCCGGGGAGGTAAGTGGGGTTCTCGGGAAACCAGGGTGGCCGGGGAGGCCATGCTGCTAACAGCCGGGTTACTGAGGGTCTGGGAGGTTACCGTCGTGGTAGGCTGCCTAACAGACAACCCGCGGAATTGCTCCAGCAATGTGTTAAACGCTCGGTCATGGCGTTCGGCCAAGGTCTGGAACCCTTCCATGAGAACACGAAGCAACTCCTCGTGCCTTCCAATGGTGGCTCCTTGGGAGGAGATGGCGTTGCGGAGCTGGTCCGAGTCTGCTGGGTCAGTCATGGCCAGTTCGTACTATCACGTTTCAGGAGAAGACCCAGATAAAGACAGTATTGAAGTAACAAAAGTATTACAAAAACAGGGGGCAGGTAAACGACAGGTCAAAGGCAGGCAGAGGTCAGTAATCCAGATCAGAGTCCAAAAGGTACAGAACGGCAGGCAGGCTCAGGGTCAGGGCAGGCAGAATGGTCAAAACCGGGAAAACTAGAAAACAGGAACTTGACAAAGACAGGAGCAAGGGGAAAAACCGCTGGTAGGCTTGACGAATCAAAACGAAGATCAGGGTGTGACAGATAAGTGTGTGAATTGAACCATTTTCTGTCCTGCTAAGCATTCAAAATGTAAAGAGTACTTTTGGGTGTCAGGGAAAATGTATGGAGTAAAAAGTAAAAAAAATTCTTAAGGAATGTAGTGAAGTAAAAGTAAAAGTAGTCAAAAATATAAATAGTAAAGTACAGATACCCCAAAAAACTACTTAAGTAGTACTTTAAAGTATTTTTACTTAAGTACTTTACACCACTGCCAGTAGGCCTATGGGAAGAACACAGGGCGTAAAGGCAGTAAATGACAATAGGCATATTTGTTGAGTAATGAACGTATTTTGACATTATAACACTTTGCAGAGCTGGTGAATGGTAGCTTTCTGGGCAGAGAGAAGATCTCGACATATTCATCAGCTCCTTTGCCTAGATACTAATGCATGAGTATAGAAACAAATCCATTCATGAAACCAGTGCAGTCACAATTTATCATTGTTTAACAAACTTCTTTCCTCCAACAGGTTTGTGAGGAGCAGAATTGTGAGGAAGAGTTATTTCCTTTGGCCATCCACTATCTGAACCGTTACTTGAGTCTCTTTCCTGTTCAATGTGCCAACCTGTAGCTTGTAGGTGCTGTTTGCATGTTCCTGGCCTCAAAACTGCAAGAGACAGTACCCCTGAGCGCCAGCAAGCTATGCATTTATGCTGACAATGCCATTACAGTGTCAGAGCTCCTGGTAAACACAAGATTTGTTTACAAGTTCCATTTGCTTTCGCCATAAGAATACTAAAATGTCTGATACAAATGATGAGCTTTGACTCAATAAGTGTGTTATTACTTTGTTTGTTATAGCAGGTTGAATACACTGTAATTTTGGTTCTGTTTTCAGTCAGTGGGAGCCTGTTTTCTGTTAATGTAATAGCCTACATATGTATTTATCTGTTATGCAGCAGTTGGAGCTTGTGGTTGATTTAATGTAATGTGTGTGTTTTGCAGCAGTGGGAACTTGTGGTGGTGGCAGGGTTAGAGTGGGACTGGCTTCTGTGTTATCCTCTGACTTCCTGGAGCCAATTCTTCATGGCATACCCATAATCCCTCACAACCTCCATGCCTTGTGCAGGCATGTCCACTCCTTCATTGCACTGGCAGCCACAGGTAGGGGCAGACATTTGGTAACTCTTGGCGAGGTGTGACTGTTGCTATTAGCAATGCAGAAACATTTAGGCCTACAAGTCAAGTATTTTAGGAAGCACCCACCAGTAGCTATTATCACAGAAAAATGAACATCTCATTGTTATTCTATGTGATAGGTGCATGGCACTTCTTTGATGAATGATGATAATAGCTTGTGTTTAATTTATTCAAATAAATCATGCAGCCCTGTGTGTGGCAATCAAAGAGCACACAGCAGCCATAACTTTGATTACGATGTGTCAGCGGTTAATTTGGGAGACGGGGGGATGAGTTTGTGTATTCCGGTATTATGCGGTGTGATAAGACCTATGCCCGTACATTCAACTGCCTGATTTTCCACGAATCTCACTCGAGGTTGCCAGAGGCAACCAGTCACTGGGATACAGTCAAGGCCATTTTGACTCGGCTGTTTCATTGTATCTGGATTCGGCCCATTCCTGACTCCTGGCTTTGAAACCTATTCTATGAGGCGTGGATAAAAGGATTGCCTGAGACTGATTCATTGTCTCATTATCTTGGGTGTTGGATTTTCAGGTTTTGGGAAACGTCCGTATTTAAGCACTTCCTACTGTCTGTCTGTCTGTCTGTCTGTCAGGGCGGGTCTATAATGGCGGCATTCCTCTACTCCTATGGGATCCTGCCTCAGGGATTAAGGATGTATGCTGCTCCCAAATCACTAACTCCCAATTGTTAAATACATTATTTTCTATTGCATACCCTGGTATTATGTTCCTTGTCCACAAAGTGGGTCTGACAACTGCTCTGTCATCTAAGCAGATTAGTATAAAAGACTGGTCAAACCTATAGGTATTCCGTTTCCGCTGATCTCTTGTGTATCTCCCTGTCTTTAGAGTATAAGTTCTCTGTGTTCCTGCCCTCCACTATTGCCTGTGCCAGTGTGGGCGCTGCCATTCGCAGACTGAAGCTCCTGGATGGAGCTCTATCCAATGATTCACTCATGCAGCTGCTAGCAAACGTCTTGACCATTGATCTGGTGAGGCCAATATTTAACTAGAAACCTGCTGCTCCTTCTTTAAACCTTGTCTGTTTCCTCATCAAACAAATGTATATGTAATCTCGCTTTCCGTAGCCGATATGAGTAAGACCTTAAAACAGGTTAACATTCGCAATGTCGCGGGGCCAGATGGAATACCAGGACGAGTACTCAGAGCATGGGCTGACCAGCTGGTAAGTGTCTTCACTGACATTTTCAACCTATCCCCGACCTGGTCTGTAATACCAACTTGTTTCATGCAGACCACCATAGTCCCCGTACCCAAGAATGCCAAGGTAACCTGCATAAATAACTATCGCTCCGTAGCACTCACATCTATAGCCATGAAATGCTTTGAGAGGCTGGTCATGGCTCTCATCAACACCATCATCCCAGACACCTTGGACTCACTCCAATTCGCATACTGCCCCAACAGATCCACAGATGACGCAATCTCTATTGCACTCCACACTGCCCACACCCACGTGGACAAAATTAATACCTATGTAATGCTGTTCATTGACTACAGCTCAGCATTCGACAACATAGTCCCCTCCAACCTCATCACCAAGCTCAGGACCCTGGCGGGTCGCCCACAGGCAGTGAGAGTAGGCAACAACACATCCACCATGCTCAACACAGGGGCCCCTCAGGGTTGTGTGCTCAGTCCCATCCTGTACTCCATGTTCACCCACGACTGCGTGGCCGCGCACGACTCCAACACCATCATCAAGTTTGCTGACGACACAACGTGGTAGAACTGATCACCGATGACAATGAAGCAGCCTATAGGGAGGAGGTGAGACACCTGACATTGTGTGGACAACAACCTCACCCTCAACGTCAGCAAGACAAAGCAGCTGATTGTGGACTACAGGAAACGGAGGGTCGAGCACGCCCCCGTCAACATCGATGGGGCTGTAGTGGAGCGGGTTGAGAGCTTCAAGTTCCTCCATGTCCACATCACTAAGGAATTAACATGGTCCACACACACCCACACAGGTTGTGAAGAGGGCACGACAGCGCCTATTCCCCCTCAGAAGACTGAAAACATTTGGCATGGGCCTTCAGATCCTCAAAGAATTCTACGGCTGCACTATTGAGAACATCTAGAATGGCTGCATCATCGCTTGGTACGGCAACTACAAGGCACCCGACCACAAGGCGCTACAGAGGGTGATGAGTACGTCCCAGTACATCACTGGGGCCGAGCTCCCTGCCATCCAGGACCTCTATAGCTTGCGAAGATAATTTAGACGAATACACTGAAACGGTGACTGAGTTTATCAGGAAGTGTATAGGAGATGTTGTGCCCACTGTGACTATTAAAACCTACCCTAACCAGAAACCGTGGATAGATGCCAGCATTCACGCAAACCTGAAAGCACGAACCACCGCATTTAACCATGGCAAGGTGACTGGGAATATGGCAGAATACAAACAGTGTTGCTACTCCGTAAGGCAATTAAACTGGCAAAACATCAGTATAGAGACAAAGTGGAGTCGCAATTCAACGGCTCAGACACGAGACATATGTGGCAGGGTCTACAGACAATCACGGACTACAAAATGAAAACCAGCCATGTCGCAGACACCGACGACTCGCTTCTGGCTCAGAGCATGCGCAGACCAGCTGGCTGGTGTGTTTACGGACATATTCAATCTCTCCCTATCCCAGTCTGCTGTCCCCACATGCTTCAAGATGGCCACCATTGTTCCTGTAACCAAGAAAGCAAAGGTAACTGAACTAAATGACTATCGTCCCGTAGCACTCACCTCTGTCATCATGAAGTGCTTTGAGAGACTTGTCAAGGATCATATCACCTCTACCTTACCTGTCACCCTAGACCCACTTCAATTTGCTTTCCGCTCCAATAGTTCCACAGACGATGCAATCGCAATCACACTGCCCTATCCCATCTGGACAAGAGAAATACCTATGTAAGAATGCTGCTCATTGACTATAGCTCAGCATTCAACACCATAGTACCCTCCAAGCTCATCATTAAGGCCCTGAACCCCGCCCTGTGCAACTGGGTCCTGGACTTCCTGATGGGCTGCCCCCAGGTGGTGAAGGTAGGAAACAACATCTCCACTTCGCAGATCCTCAACACTGGGGCCCCACAAGGGTGCGTGCTCAGCCCCTTTCTGTACTCCCTGTTCATCCATGACTGAGTGGCCAAGCACGCCTCCAACACAATCATCAAGTTTGCAGACGACACAACAGTAGTAGGCTTGATTAACAACAATGATGAGACAGCCTAGAGGGAGGAGGTGAGGGCTCTGGGAGTGTGGTGCCAGGAAACTAACCTCTCACTCAACGTCAACAAAACAAAGGAGATGATCGTGGACTTCAGGAAACAGCAGAGGGTGCACCCCCCCCTATCCACATCGACGGGACCACAGTGGAGAAGGTGGAAAGCTTCAAGTTCCTTGGAATACACATCTCTGACAAACTGAAATGGTCCACCCACGCAGACAGTGTGGTGAAGAAGGCGCAACAGAGCCTCTTCAACCTCAGGAGGCTGAAGAAATTTGGCTTGGCACTTAAAACCCTCACAAACTTTTACAGATGCACAATTGAGAGCATCCTGTCGGGCTGTATTATCGCCTGGTACGGCAACTACACCGCCTGCAACCGCAGGGCTCTCCAGAGGGTGGTGCGGTCTGCTGAACGCATTACCGGGGGCAAACTACCCGCCCTCCAGGACACCTCCAGCACCTGATGTCACAGGAAGGCCAAAAAGATCATCAAGGACATCAACCACCCGAGCCACTGCCTGTTCACCCCGCTATCATCCAGAAGGCGAGGTCAGTACAGGTGCATCAAAGCTGGGACCGAGAAAATGAAAAACCGCTTCTATCTCAAGGCCATCAGACTGTTAAATAGCCATCACTAGCACATTAGAGGCTGCTGCTGCGTATTGAAATCACTGGCCACTTTAAGAAATGGAACACTAGTCACTTTAATAATGTTTACATATCTTGCATTATTCATCTCATATGTGTATACTGTATTCTATAATATTCTACTGTATCTTAGTCCATGCCGCTCTGTCATTGCTTGTCCATATATGTATATATTCTTAATTCATTCCTTACTTAGATTTGTGTGTATTGGGTATATGTTGTGAAATTGTTAGATATTACTTGTTAGATACTATTGCACTGTCGGAGCTAGAAGCACAAGCATTTCGCTACACCCGCAATAACATCTGCTAAACACGTGTATGTGACAAATAAAATATGATTTGATGATTTGATTTATACCAGGCAGTGTCAGAGGAAGGCCGTATTTGTTTTAAAAGACTCCAGCCATCCAAGTCATAGACTGTTTTCTCTGCTACCGCATGGCAAGCGGTACCAGTGCACCAAATCTGGAACCAACAGGACCCTGAACAGCTTCTACCCCCAAGCTATATGACTGCTAAACAATACATATTTTGCAGAACTTGCACTGACTCTATGCACACACACTGGACTCTACCCACACACTCACACAGACTTACACTGACACCCCAACACACACATACACACACTACATATGCCCATAAACACATAACATGCGCACACATGCATACTGACGCCATACACAAATTCACACACACACACACACATATGCTGCTGCTACTGTCTATTGTCTATCCTGTTGCCTAGTTACTTTACCCCTACCTATATGTACATAGCTACCTCAATTACCACGTACCCCTGCACATCGACTCGGTACTGGTACTCCCTGTATATAGCCATGTTATTTTTTTACTTATTGCTTTTCGTTATTCACTGTGTATTTATTCCTAGTGTCACTATTTCTATTTTTATCTTTATCTTTAACTCTGCATTTTTGGAAAACAACCTGTAAGTAATCATTTCACCCTTAGTCTACACCTGCTGTTTACGAAGCATGTGACAAATAACATTTTATTTTAAAAATAGATATATTTGTATTTTCCTTGTTTGTCTGGCTTCTCCCTGGAAGTACAATCTAGTCGTTCACTCTACAAGGTGAAGAAAAAAGGCTGCCTTTATTCAATAAGGAAGCAAACTGGTTTTGAAACAAATAGTACAAATGTCATTGTTTTCTCTGGGCCTTGGTTGGTGAGGACTCTGGAGTTTGATGTTTTCCAGCTTTTCATTTCCCCCTTCTTAGACACTTTCTTTACTGCGCTGTGCCCAAACAGGAGTCTCTCTGCTGCTGCTCTGACCAGTTGGAGGGTTTGCTGGAGCTCAGCCTGCCTCCCTACCCCCAGGCACCAGGGGCTTGCCGTTCAGGGATGCCCGGCCCAGAGGTCAGCTAGACCCCCACTGACATCCAAGACCTACTGGGATAGAGATGGCACCAAGCAGACAATCACTTTAACGGGTCTTTCTTAACAATGACTAGGGCTTATTTATACCATAGTGACCATAATGAGAAAGGTGTCTTAACTAACCCATACGACATTGAAAACCCCCCAAAGCCAATTGGATCTCAATCCAGACAAATGTCACTATTAACAGCTACCTCCATGAGTGGTGTGTTTGAAATATGCATTATAATTGTAGTCATTCGATATTTTTGAAAAACACTGTGTACCCTGTTTTTAGACCAATCATTTAGTGACTGATTTTTTTTTTGTCTTGAACAGTCTGGATATCCCTGGCAAAGAAACAAAACCTGGAATATCTCTAACCTCTGATCTTGTTAACTAATTGAAAAGCATTTTTTTTACAATGTTTGTCTAAACTAGCAATGACAGTCTGATATGAGCCTATAGTCCTTCTCCCTTTGCTAGACTCTGTTTTTGGTAAAGTTCCTATAGAACTGCATAAAAACAATGTCACTTCATGAGTGGCTACTGTAGCTACTCACTTTTCCTATACCACTTTGGCTATCAAGGCACACATTACCATGAATGTGTTCAGCTGCCTCAGTCTCTCTGTGTCCTTTTGAGAATGCTGTATTATACTGTCCTTGGACGCTTGCTGGTCCTCAGCTGGCTGCAGATCCTGCAGATCACCATGGCATGCTTGTAGGCCTCTGTCACGTTCTCACAGTCTGTGATGGACACAACTGCCTCAGCAGGCCTTGCCCAAGCCCCTCTTCTCGGATGTCCAGGAGGTTGTCAGTGGACACGCAGTCCCTCATGGTGCCCTCGGCTGGGCATTCGCTGGGCGCCACTGGCCCCACGCGGTCAGGCAGATCCAGCTGGTCAAAGGCCTCTGAGGAGAGGATACTGTCCTTGCTGATTGCTCCGCTGGGTCGTGCTCACATGCCACCTCTTGGCAGGGAGGCCAGCAGCTGGTCCAGAGACCCAAACTCCTGCAGGCTGCCTGAGGAGAACTTGCTGTGGCACTTCAGGATGCCCTTCCTAATTTGGCTGATATGAGTCTATGTTATTTGCCCACAGTTACCCACAACGTGTTTAAAAAAAAGAGTGAAGCCCTCTGAGCATTTGGGGAGGAACAGAGTTTATTCCAACAGAAGATTGTTCTGGAATGTCAGCTATGCTCCATTGTCCTCCACTCTACAGGGGGGCATGTCCTAACAGACGCGTGGAGCAAGAGCTTCAAGTAGTTCAACTTCAAGAAATGCAGGTCACACTACTTTGGTCTTGCAACTCCTGTTAGAATCACTCAGGAATTTGTAAAATGTTTAACTATGCAGAATTTCCATTTTTATTTGATGTTGCAATGAGGTAAAGAAAACATACACGAGCCAGTGAAGATAGAAAAACGCTTTTAGTAACTGTAAAAGGAAAGTGTTTAGAACATATTACTTCATCAAATGTTTTCTAAATGTATATTACATTAATACAGAATAGTTTCTTTAATAAGGGACCACATTTTATTGGACCAACAATATTGTACCACTAAACAACCAGCCTAAGAGCAATTCCATACAGCTCAAATAGCAATAAAGTACCAAAAATCTTTACATATTTGTAAAAGGACAAACAGAATCTAAGTGGTTCTTAGTGTAATGTACAGGAAAACAGTATACTATTATACCATGTACTCTAGACACAGGGCATTGTAAAACTACTCTGGGCCCTGGGGTAGGTGACTGTCTAAATGACGATCACCCCGTAGCACTCACATCTGTAGCCATGAAAGGCTGGTCATGGCTCACATCAACACCATCATCCCAGACACCCTGGACCCACTCCAAATCGCATACCGACCCAACAGATCCACAGATGATGCAATCCCTATTGCACTACACATTGCCTTTCCCCTCTGGACAAAAGGAACACCTACATGAGAATGCTGTTCATTGACTACAGTGTTCAACACCATAGTGCCCTCCAAGCTATGGACCCTGGGATTAAACACCTCCCTCTGCAACTGGATCCTGGACTTCCTAATGGGCCAACCCCAGGTGGTGAGGGTCGGCAACAACACATCCACCATGCTGACACTCAACACAGGGGCCCCTTAGGGGTGCGTGCTTAGTCCCCTCCTGTACTCCCTGTTCACCTATGACTGCGTGGCTGCGCACTACTCCAACACCATCATTAAGGTTGCCGACGACACTAACCCTCACAAGGCTTCCAGACGGCATCCCTAGCCGCGTCCTCAGAGCATGCGCAGACCAGCTGGCTGGAGTGTTTACTGACATATTCAATCTCTCCCTATCCCAGTCTGCTGTCCCCACTTGCTTCAAGATGTCCACCATTGTTCCTGTACCCAAGAAAGCAAAGGTAACTGAACTAAATTACTATCGCTCCATAGCACACACTTCTTTCATGATGAAGTGCTTTGAGAGGCTAGTTAAGGATCATATCACCTCTACCTTACCTGACACCCTTCACCCTTTTTGCAGTAACTAATTTGACTCATCACATACGCTGCTGTTACTGTTTATTATCTATCCTATAGCCGATTCACTTTATTAATACCTACCTACAGTGGGCTCCAAAATTACTGGCACCCCTGACTGGCAATGCACAAACAATACTTTAAAAAATATAAACAATATAATGATAGAGAAACTCAAAATACCAACATGTGAGAAATACTGTACTTTATTAATGTTTCAATGGTACCAACCAAAATCATACAATTATTTAATACAAAATAAATGTCACCAAAATCAAGGTTTCATAATTATTGGCACTCCTCATTTAGTACTTAGTGCAACCACCTCTGGCAAGGATAACAGCATGGAGTCTTTTCCTGTAATGTTTGACAAGGTTAAGGAACACATTTGGAGTGATTTTGGACCATTCCTCTATGCAGATCCTTTCAAGATCCTTCACATTCTTGGGTTTGCGCTTATCAACTGTTCTCTTCAACTCAGCCCACAGATTTTAGATTGGATTGAGGTCCGGCGACTGAGATGGCCATGGCAGAACATTGATTTTGTTGTCACAGAACCATTTCTGTGTGGATCTTGAGGTATGTTTTGGGTCATTGTCTTGTTGGAAAGTCCACCTACAGCAAAGTCCCATCCTTCTGGCAGAGGCAACCAGATTGTCAGCCAAAATTGCCTGAGACTTGGTGGAATTCATTATGCCATCAATCTTATCCAGTGCTCCTGGACCTTGTGGAGGTGGCGTCTGATGGTGCTTGTTGAAACCTGGTGACCCCAAGACGCCACCAAGGCCTGCAATTCTTTCAAAGTGATTCTTGGGGATTTTGTTGCTTCTCTCACCATCCTCCTCCCTATCCTGGGGGGCAAAATGCATTTGCGTCCTCTACCCGTGAGGTTTTCAACTGTTCCATATCTTTTTAATTTTTTTATAATTGCCCTGACAGTGGTATATTCAATCGTTTGTGGATCTTCTTGTAGCCATTATCAGATTTATGAAGGTCTACGACGATCTGTCTCTTTTGAACTGCCAGTTATTTTGTTTTCTTCATGGTGTTGGATGACAAAGGGATATTGCATGTGTTACCTCATTTTTATACCCTAGTGAAACAGGAAGTGATGTAATGGCTCAAAATAGTTCCTTAAGACTTAGATACATTAAAATAAGTGGAATTTAATTCCTGGTTTAATTTTGGTAGATGTTATTTACAATAATCTTTAAGGGTGCCATTAATTGTGAAACCTTGATTTGTAGGACTTTGATTTTTAATTAAATCAATAAATGATTTTGGTGTGTTCCATTGGAACATTAATACAGTGCCTTGCAAAAGTATTCATCCCCCGTGGCCTTTTTCCTATTTTGTTGCATTACAACCTGTAATCTAAATTGATTTTTATTTGGATTTCATGTAATGGACATATACAAAATAGTCCAAATTGGTGAAGTGAAATTAAAAAAATAACTTGTTTCAAAGAATTCTAAAAAATCAATAACGGAAATGTGGTGCGTGCATATGTATTCACCCCCTTTGCTATGAAGCCCCTAAATAAGATCTGGTGCAACCAATTACCTTCAGAAGTCACATAATTAGTTAAATAAAGTCCACCTGTGTGCAATCTAAGTGTCACATGATCTGTCACATGATCTCAGTGTATATATACACGTGTTCTGAAAGGCCCCAGAGTCTGCAACACCACTAAGCAAGGGGCACGACCAAGCAAGTGGCACCATGAAGACCAAGGAGCTCTCCAAACAGGTCAGGGACAAAGTTGTGGAGAAGTACAGATCGGGGTTGGGTTATAAAAAATTATCCAAAACTTTGAACATCCCATGGAGCCACTTTAAGCCGTACACTCCACAGAGCTGGGCTTTACGGAAGAGTGGCCAGAAAAAAAGCCATTGCCTAAGGAAAAAAATAAGCAAACACGTTTGGTGTTCGCCAAAAGCCATGTGGGAGACTCCCCAAACATATGGAAGAAGGTACTCTGGTCAGATGAGACTAAATTTGAGCTTTTTGGCCATCAAGGAAAACGCTATGTCTGGCGCAAACCCAACACCTCTCATCACTCCGAGAACATCATCCCCACAGTGAAGCATGGAGGTGGCAGCATCATGCTGTGGGGATGTTTTTCATCGGCAGGGACTGGGAAACTGGTCAGAATTGAAGGAATGATGGATGGCGCTAAATACAGGGAAATTCTTGAGGGAAACCTGTTTCAGTCTTCCAGAGATTTGAGACTGGGACGGAGGTTCACCTTCCAGCAGGACAATGACCCTAAGCATATTGCTAAAGCAACACTTGAGTGGTTTAAGGGGAAACATTTAAATGTCTTGGAATGGCCTAGTCAAAGCCCAGACCTCAATCCAATTGAGAATATGTGGTATGACTTAAAGATTGCTGTACACCAGCGGAACCCATCCAACTTCAAGGAGCTGGAGCAGTTTTGCCTTGAAGAATGGGCAAAAATCCCATACCCCAAGAGACTTGCAGCTGTAATTGCTGCAAAAGGTGGCTCTACAAAGTATTGACTTTGGGGGAGGAGGGGGGGGGGGGGGGGGGGGGGGGGGGATAGTTATGCACGCTCAAGTTTTCTGTTTTTTTGTCTTATTTCTTGTTTGTTATCCATTCACCACACTCATGCCACACCTTTATCCGCTGTACTGTTTGCAGAACAAGCACTGATGGCCTTTCTCCAAATCAAATCAAATCAAATCACATTTTATTTGCCACATACACCGAATACAACAGGTGTAGACATTACAGTGAAATGCTTACTTACAAGCCCTTAACCAACAATGCTGTTTTAAGAAAATAATTTAAAAAACAAAAATGTTCAGTAAAAAATAGATAAGTAAAAAATAAAAGCAAATAATTTAAAGAGCAGCAGTAAAATAAAATAACAGTAGGGAGGCTATATACAGGGGGGTACCGGTACAGAGTCAATGTGCGGGGGCACCGGCTAGTCGAGGTAATTGAGGTAATATGTACATGTGGGTAGGGTTAAAGTGACTATGCATAAATAATAAACAGAGTAGCAGCAGCGTAAAAGAGGGGGACGGGGGGTGGGGGGGGGCAGTGCAAATAGTCCGGGTAGCCATGATTAGCTGTTCAGGAGTCTTATGGCTTGGGGGTAGAAGCTGTTTAAGAAGCCTTTTGGACCTAGACTTGGTGATTCTGTACCGATTGCCGTGCGGTAGCAGAGAGAACAGTCTATGTCTAGGGTGGCTGGAGTCTTTAACAATGTTTATGGCCTTCCTCTGACACCGCCTGGTATAGAGGTCCTGGATGGCAGGAAGCTTGGCCCCAGTGATGTACTGGGCCGTACGCACTACCCTCTGTAGTGCCTTGCGGTCGGAGGCTGAGCAGTTGCCATACCAGGCGGTGATGCAACCAGTCAGGATGCTCTCGATGGTGCAGCTGTATAACTTTTTGAGGATCTGAGGATCCATGCCAAATATTTTCAGTCTCCTGAGGGGGAATCGGCTTTGTTGTGCCCTCTTCATGACTGTCTTGGTGTGTTTGGACTATGATAGTTTGCTGGTGATGTGGACACCAAGGAACTTGAAGCTCTCAA